CAGTGCGAGACTTCAAAGGCGTGCAAGCGAGAACTTTCATTGGCCTGCCCACGCAACTGTTGCATCAGAAGCTGGATGCAGACGGGGCACAGCACACGTTGGCCAGAACTGCCCGCGGCTCCAAAAGAGACCTGTTCGTCGGCAGTGCTAGGGCTTCTTTACTGATGACTTTATAAACTTCAGGCAGGCTGTGCTTAATTGTTTTTTCTGAAAGACAAGAGAAGAGGTTTAAAGTCTACAGGGTTTAAGCTTTAGGCCGGGTTTGGTGTTCCGAAGCCACCAGCAGGGACGATCCATGATATCAGCAAAATTCTTACTGACTAGAGCGACCAAACAAGAGTCCCCACGTCAACCTAGAAACTGCTGCTGGCACCTTCTCCAGAGTCGAAGCTGCAGCGCTGCAAGGATCACCACCCCGTGACCTGCGAAGGGGACTGCTGCTATGCCACATACCCCGAAGCATGAGACAACTTGTTTCGAACATTTCTGCGGACGGCAACATCATCCCAGCGGTGCCCAGTTCTTTCTTTGCTATACAAGACCGGCCGTCACTGCAGACAAGACTTTTTTCAATTAGTGGCCATCAGCTGGCTTCTCATCTCTGTTCATGGACACACACTGTTCACCTCTGGCGTGCAACATGCAATTGAATCCTCGACTGCAATGCACCTACAGACATTGTTGACACATTGTTTGCAAACGAGGAACACTGCACACGTTGAGCCTCCCAAAAAACAGTGGCCAACTGCTTGACACAGCCACCCTTGAAGAAGTTCGCAACAACAGTCCGGGCTTGGTCCTCTGTGATGATCTCCTGAGATCGTTGCAGGGGTTCAGGTCGGGTCTAGAATTGGTGCTGGCAGAATAGAGAAAATATTGAAGGCATGCTGCGTTGGGCTTGGCGCACGGCCAGAGCACGGATTGAATTTCCTTGTACCAATCTAGCGGCATTTTCTCGAGTCCTGGCTTGGACTGGCACAACAAGATGCAAACTGCTACACACTGTATCAGTTTTGTTCACCGACCTGCCGAGCACAGGATGTCGTAGGTGGCTTTGTCAATCTCCAAACTCATGGCTATTGCAAGAGGCCACCTATGAACTTGCCAAGTTGATGCTACATCCAGCTAGATGGCATTGATCTCAAGCACCAGCGGACAGCGAGCAAACCGAATGCATGCATCCAATGCTTCAGGCTTTGCTGTTCAGACCGTGCACACACAGCGCTGACAATAAAAGCAGCAGGGCTGGGTGCACCTGTAAAGGATCAAGCCCTCCATGAAGGCCGGCATGCCGTCATGACACCACACAATGGCATCCAACCATGTCAACGATCTACCCCACCAGAAGCTATGGAAGCTACTTCGAAGTAGCAGCTAAGCCAGCGAACCATGTGAACGATCTACCCTCTCAAAAGTCCTCCATTACATCTATACACAAAGCGAGACTGCTTGGAACAAGTGCATCTGTACTACATCCTGCTCTTGACTGGCACGAAAACCTGACATCCAATGTGAAAACAGGAAACGCCGCAGAGAATGTGTTTCTGCCGAAATGATTTGTTGTATGTTGCTAGAAACACGTTTCAGCCGCAATTTTGGGTTTCCGCCTCCGATTGTGTTGCGGCGCCGAATCCCGATTGCGGCGTTAATTTCTGCCTCAACGGAGCTTCCAGGTATGCCCTACAAGGACCGAAACAGAAGCCTAGTTTTCGAGTTTAGGGCTTAGGGTTTGGGGGGGGTTAGAGCTTTGCCATCAGACATGTGTGATCTGGAGCCACCTGGTTCACAAGTGAGGGGGTTGATTACTCAGGGGTCTACTTTAATCGTTGAATATTGGTAGGCATCTGTGAGTTAGGGCTCGAACTCTCGGGTTTGGGTTCTGATGCTTCAGGGCTCAGCTAAGCCCCCACTGCAGCTCCGAGAAAGATGAAGTTTGACTGTCTGAAGCACGGGGAAGTCAATCACCAATCATCCTGAGTCAATGCTTTTGGGGTCGAAACAGTCCTTGGGTCCCTTTTGTATAGTTTTGGCATAGTATGCCCCAAAACCTCGTTCTAGTTTGTAATGCCTTATACTCCGATATGACGGAGTTCAGTGTGCTCCCAACGAGGCTTAGGCTGTGCGGGAGTAAGCACGGTCCTATCAGATCCCCTCAAGGCTCATGGCTTTGAGGCCCCTCCCCGAGACTCCAATATCCCTTTGCTAAGAATATTCCTGAGATTTTCGTAGGATCCCTAATATGATTTCAGGACCATTCCTTAATTAAGAGATTTGGAGTCTCTGGGCTTAACCCTAAACGACAAACCCTACATTTCACCGCTAAAGGGATCCATATTCTGGGATCGAAGGTCGGGCCCCAAAAAAGCACATAAGCAAAAATTAGGATAGGGATGTCCCATATAAACCCCCTTTAAAAGGAAGCCCATAAGGTAGGGATATCCCCACAAAATGCTTATGCTTAGGTGCCTTTTTGGGTCCCTATAAAGGGAGCCATATTCTGGGATCGACGGGAGTCTTGTCTGAGTCTGTCCCCTTAAACTTTACGTGAGTGCTGAAACCAATACAGTAAGCTACCCAAAGCCTCCGACACGAGCACTCATTGACAGAACCCCATAGCTCTCTGATGGAACTTTACAATTCTGAAAACAAGTTTTTGTACACTTATCTAGAGCTCTGTTAAACCCGATAAGGCCCTTACAACCGTCCATCTTTCCCTAAACCCTAAAGCCCTCAACCCCAATCCCTCCACCCGAAACCCCGAAACCCCAAAACCCCCAAACCCCGAAACCCCTATATATACCCCGAAACCTCCAAACCCCAAAACCCCCAAGCCCGACATCCCCTAAACCCCAAAACCCCTGAACCTCTAAACCCTAAAGACCTAAACTCCAAGCCTCAAGAAGACCTTAGTTTAAAATCCCTAAACCCTAAGCCCCCAAAAACCCCCAAAACCCCTAAACCCAAAACCCCTCAACCCCGAAACCCCTAAACCCTAAACTCCCTAAAGACCTAAACTCCAAGCCTCAAGAAGACCTCAACCCAAACTCCCTAAACCCTAAGCCCTCGAAACCCTAAACTCCCTAAACCCAAAACCCTCAAAACCCTAAACTCCCTAAACCCTAAGCCCTCAAAACCCCAAACTCCTTAAACCCCAAGCCCTCTTTCGCAGGTGATGAAGCAGTGCCAGGAGCTCTTCGGTAGGAAGGCGGAGCTTCTGAAATCCGCCCCTGCCTTGGGCAATACTACTTGGAGGTTCAGGGGTTCCTTTAAGGGTCCCTTTAAAGGGATCTGTAGGGATTCTATAAGGGTATATATAGGGTTTAGGGTCTACTTGGAGGTTCAGGGGGGGGTTATAAGTCCCCAAATATGGGTTATAAGTATAGTTGCCTTATGTATAACCCTACTTATAACTCCCCATGAGCCTCCAAGTAGAGCCAACAAGTGGTGTGGAGGGTGTAGGGTTTGAGGGATGTTTGGGGCTTAGGCGGGAGGGCAGTTTAAGAGATTTTCGGGGTTTTGGGTGTAGGGTTGATAGGGTTCTAAGGTTGTTTAAGGTTTCGGGTTCAGCGCTTCGGGTTTTGAGGGTGTAGGGTTTAGAGTTTCAGGGTTTTAGGGTTTAGGGCGCGTCTTAGTTGGTTATGGTTGATGGGTGTCGAAGTAAGTGTTTCTTGGACGAGTTCTTTCGATTTTTGTATGTCGAGAGGATTAGGCGTCGAGGTTTGGGGTTCAGTGTTGTGCAAGGTTTGTTCAGGGCTTTGTGCGTCTACAAGTCTATAAGGGAAATGTGAAGGATTTCGCTCAGTTTCGGGGTGTTAAGGGTGTCTAGGGCTGAAAACGTTTAAGGTTTGAGGCTTTTCAGTTTAGGGTTCAGGGTTTAGGGTTTATCATAGGGGGTTTGGGGGTGTAGATGATGGGCTGTTCGCAGTTAGGGTTTGCGCTGTGAAAACTCACTTTTCCCATTTTGCGCCAACATCGGCCAGAACCCCCAAGTCCGAAAAGCGTCGGTGGCAGTTCGGGATCCCCTGTGATCATTTGAAGCATAGAGTCTTCTATTCAGAAAATGCTGTCGGGCACACTTTCACAAACAAATTTCTACCTAGAACTGTAGGGTTCTTAAACCGCAAGACTACATCTGAACTTCCGAGGCCGGTGTGGGCGAGATTTGTGTGGTGCGCCTCCCTGGGACAGTCGCAGTCATGTTCCTGGGTGATTCATTAGGACATCATTAGGACTTCGACTCGGGTGTAGTATTTAGGATAATAAGCTGCAAAGAAGGAAGGTTAGGAGTAGTCGTAGTCATGTTTCTGGGTGATTCATTAGGACTCCGCCATACCCGATAAGGATCCAATATTTAGGCTCTCGGGTGTAGTATTTAGGATAATCAGCTGTAGTGAAGGAAGGTTAGGAGTTAGCTGTTGTTGGGGTCTGTGGTTACTGAATACTTGGACCCTCAGCTTTCAGATTTTCAGGGAGTTTGGTATGTGCTCTATGTTTGGGCTATGTTTGTAGTGTAGGGGACGCGCCCAGAGGCTTGCACGTGCCAAACAAATCGCGGCATGCTTTGCTGCAGGTGTTTAGAGCTATCTCCTAATCACATAATCTGTACGACACCACAACTCTTCATGTAGTAGCCTAAATGACTGCAAGCTGCTTATGGCTCCTTGTTACGATTGGGATATAACATACCCAAGCGCCCTGTTTTAATTACAATTATCAAGGCCCTACACTAGCCTTTAGTGACCATCGCAGCAACTACGAGGCCCTCCATTGCATAACCACGTGTCTTCTGGCAGGCGACCCGATTGCCTGTGTAGCGGGTTATTGTACCTGCACACCCAGAGACTCCAATATCCCTTAATTAAGGAATATTCCTTAAATCATATAAGGGATCCTACTCTATTTAAGGTATATTCCTTTATAATTAAGGGATATTGGAGTGTCCAGGCATATCGTCAAACCCAATGAGAACCCGTGTATACCGCCGTTTCATATACATACCTTAAACCCTATAAACCCTAAGAGCCTTTTAAACACATCCTTTTCATGTATATAGTTCCCGAAAGAACCCTTTCAGTCCACCGGGCTTCTCGGGAAAGCCTGCAGCCCGAAGCCCTAAAACTGGATCCCCAGTATGATTTTAGGAGTATTCCTTAATTAAGGGATATTGGAGTCTCTGGTACCTCGCCCGCGTCGGTCAGGCGCTTCCCCAGCCACCGCGCCACCCACGATTCGCCAAGTTCCAGCTGGACCCAACCAGTGAGGCGGGATGTCTGGGATGAACGTCAGCTCAGCGTCAACTGCATCGTAGTAGATGGTAGTTTGTCATCGTCTACTTGAGTATTTATCGTATAAGATTGTATAGATATTGTAAAAGTTCTGTGGGTTATAGCTAGAGTATATTATCTTACAAGACCCTAAAGACCCAAGGCCCTAAAACACAGGCCTTCTCAACCCTAGGCCCTTTGGGCTTTTTGAACTGCGACCTCCGAATCTCAAGGGTTTAGGGTTTAGGATTCCCAGCACCCCCCAAGTCCCCTTTAATGGAGTCCTTGTGGCCCTTACTAGTGGGTACTTGGGGTACATTCGTGGGTAGTTTCGGGGGACCCTAAACCCTAAACCCTAAACCCTAAACCGTTAGGTAGACCCTGAACCACGGATGCGGAAACTTTAAACCCTAGGACCCTAAACCCTAAACCCTGGGACCCTACGGCTAGCCTCTGGGGCTTAGGATGATGGTTTAGGGTTTAGGGTTTAGGGTTTAGGGTTTAGGGTTTAGGGTTAGGATGATGGTTTACGTGGTCGACTTCTGGGTGTTCAGCTACGGCTTCGGCATTGCCGTGCCTCTCAGAGGCTGTCTTGCTATCTTCATGTGGTTTGCCAGATGTTATCAGCAATGATTTGAAATGTCAAGCTGTAGGTGTCAGGTCAGAGGAAGTGGCCAGGGAGATCTATGTTTCGTTCAGCTTTTCGGGTGCAATTTGTCGAATGCTTTGAGGGCCGATACATGCTCTGCTAGCTTTCGATGATCACATTACATCGAGACAAGTATGCATCAATGCAGACACTCTGGCCCATTGCAGACGATCTTCGGCCTTGAAACCTGTGGCCAGTAATCGCCATGCGATCGCCTTTAGGGTTTAGGGTTTAGGGTTCAGGGTTTAGGGTTTAGGGCCTAGGGAGAACAGGAATTCAAGTACCTAAGCATATGAAAGTAAAACCCTCAGACATACCTCATAGAAGATCCATGTAAGTCCGTCCGACGAGAGCCCGGCCAAGTTAGCCCAAGGCCTCGACTCTACTTTGGACGTGTTCTGTGCTTCATGGGTTCAATGGGTTCTACTCCCTTTTTTAATGGGAACTTGCAACAACTAGAGTTTCTCGTGCCTTCTAGGAGGAGCCGGGCGGTTGAGCCCTGACCCTAAACCCTAACCCCGAACATTTGCCAAAGACGTAGCGCTATGGATGGCAGCTGCACGTGCGCCCGACATGCTCTCCCCGACCGACCTTCACTCGGCAGCTTGGATAGGGTTTTACGATGAGGGTTTAGGGTCTGGGGTTTGGGGCTTAGGGTTCAGGGGTTAGGGTTTGGTGGTTTGGTGTTTAGGGCCACGGCGGTGGGGGTCACTTGCAGGATCATGGGACTTTCGAAGTAGTGTCCGAAGCACATACAGCAGATCCCGAGGGGAGGGCGCAGTTAGTTTGGGACTTACAGTATATAAGGGTCTAGGGCTATAGGGCTTAGGTTTGGAGCAGATTATGTGCGACTTATGTATTGAGCCCTCTTTTGGTTGCCAGACCCAAGCCCCGTGTCTGAAGTGGATCCGGGGTGCTAGGCTTACTTCCTAAGTCGGCTACGTGATCCATGTCCATGCCCCGTAAGTTTGGTAAGAACATAGAAAGTGACCATTTCATCTTGGACTAGTGGTATGCCTGGGTTTAGGGTGTAGTACGTGAAGATAAGATAAATGTTGTGACAAGATCAAGACGAAATCCCTCGACGGGCACTCTCTTTTTTCGAGAAACAAAACAGCCTTCGCGAATCACCAATGCATGCTGTGCCTGGGACTTGATCGCACGCACTCCCCCTCGCCACACCTCCAAGGTGGGGCGAAACCGGAGAATCCTTCAGGAAAACGCTCATCTTTCAAAGATAATATTATCGACCAAGTCCGTCTGTACGCACGATTATTCGCAGCTGGCAGGGACAAAAGCTGACGCTATAGTATCTCGATTCCGATTCTGTAGCCTAGTGCCAACAGTCCTTCTTAAAAGGAGTTCATCTCGAGACATCAGCATCCCTCTTCTAACACTAACAAGACCGAGGAGTAGGGTTAGGACCCTACAGATCCGTTTATCCTTAAACACCCGATATAGAAGATCGGGACACTATGTTCACTCCTCAGTCTCCAAGGTCTGTTTCCTTTCTACCAGACACACTGCCCGGAGGACAACTCCGTTCTTAAAAAAACCCTACTGCAGCAGGAACTCGCTTTCAACAAGGCTCAATCCGATGAAGAAGGCTCACTAGCCCGCTCGAGATGCACTAGATAATCCCCAAGTAGCCATTCGAAACCAGATTGAGTCTCATCGTCATAAGCCGTCACGTCGACAGGGTATCCCGCTCGATACAGACAAAACAGAATCCTATCTCGATGAGGAACCCCCACATGTAAAGGCAGAGGCACATACAAACCATCCGTCTGGGTACCCTGAGCGATACGGCAGGGAATGTTCCTGCTCCACCAGCGTCTTACTACTCTGAGCACTTCCCAGCCCCCAAGGAGGAGGGCAACTTGAACGCACGCCCACAGAGTAGATCCGTCACATACACACTCTTCAGAGGTTACCGCGCTCCCTCCAGCAGAACACACCGTGGCCTCAAAAGACCAGACCTGAACCGCCTGTGAGTCCTCTGGAAGCCCAAGGGCCTGACCAACCGAAGACGCCCCGGCACTCTGAACAAGAGCCCACCAAATCAGTAGCATCCAAAGAACCCTTCCGAAGACCGAAACCGAACCAGAGCCACCAATTGCGGAGCCTACAGGACCTTCGGAAGAGCCAGACTGAATCCCCGAGGACTGACTAAGGTCTCCAACCTCAAGCCTCGCCTTAAAGCCTGCCCAATCCCCGGTACTCAAGCCCTGCACTACCTCTTCAACTTCGCTCTGGCTCCAGCCCTCAAGTGGAACTTCAAACGCATCGTCAACATAGCGAACTACTAGAGCTCCTGGTTTGGCTTCATAAGTAGTCAAAGAGCCTGGAAACGCACCCAAAGCGGGATCACCAGGGGAAATTTCCCCTAGTTCTGGATCTGTTGCCTCATTTAAGTCTTCAGAACCCAAAGAAACTACAGAAGGCTCAACAGTTGTCTGGTCCCCAGACTCATCTGATGAAGCGTCAGATCCATCCAGCAACTCTTCAAAAACGGGGGCATATGGCGCAACCTGAACTTGAAGCACAGGAGCCTCAGCTCCATACCGAAACTCATCTAAGGTAGCATCATCCTCATTATCATCTCGGTCGTAAAACGGATGCACACGCTCTCCATTCTGCAAGTAAGCTTCGGCCGCATCAAAGGACTGCGCGCCATCTGTAACCCTAGTGATGCTCGTGGCCCGCAGCCACAATATCATAGCATATACCGAATGAGTCATGAACCCTTGTGCTGCACAGCGAAGCTGTCCCCATCCCTCGTCCCTACTACCTAGAAACGACAAAAGTTCGAACCCAGCAACAGAAAACACTCTCCACAGGTAGTGTACATACAACCCAGGTGCCCACAAGACTAAGGGAAACGCCTGTTCAACGCCCTCAGCGGGATTGGGTTGATCCTCAGGTTCAGGAGGGTAACCTTGCAGCACAAAAATCTCTGTCATCTCAAACCACTGGGGACCCTCAAACCGCAGAACATGAGGTCCCCTTCGAAGCCGATCTACAATCGCTCCTGCCATTGCATACCGAACAATGTTCGACACCGCTCGCAATGCAAACCAGCTAGACGATCGGACCCCTAAATACCACAGAACATGCTCGCCTACACTAGTCAGGATCTGCACCACGAAGTGAGTCTGTAGCCACGTCCCTATATATGGCCAAGTCGCAGGGTCTAGTTCAACTTCAGCTAAATCCTCATACGTAGGCTCCGGCCACGGAGCTGCTTGCATTCCATGACTAGAAGAACTACCACCTAGCCCTTCCTCAGCGAACCACTCAACTACATCGTGACTGCAGGCACTATCCCCTGGGCGCACCCTCGCCCTGGCACCACCACCTACACGATGCCGTAACTCTTCCCTGGGAGTTTCCCTAAACAAAAAACCTGCTCCTAGTGCACCTTCAGCGATACTAGTGATCCTATCCTCACTGCCTATGACGAAACCAGGCGCGTTCCCGCTGCACTGGCTCCCCCCAATCTGAACAGCAGAATCCGATGGATCTTCAGGGCTCTGGCTTTCCCCAATCTGAACAGCAGAATCCGATGGATCTTCAGGGCTCTGGCTCCCCCCAATCTGAACAGCAGAATCCGATGGATCTTCAGGGCTCTGGCTCCCCCCAATCTGAACAGCAGAATCCGATGGATCTTCAGGGCTCTGGCTCCCCCCAATCTGAACAGCAGAATCCGAGGGATCTTCAGGGCTCTGGCTCCCCCCGATTTCCCCGAACCTTGCTGAAACCGGGACCCAACCCGAACCATTAAACACGAACTCCGCTCGAAACTCAGGCGCATTAGCCGTAGCAGCTCTGGTGCCAGTATCACCCCATTGCTCAAGCAAAGCCAGAACAGCATCGCGAGCAAGCTCCCGATTAACCCTTCTTAGGTTCCGCCACGTCTCCCTCCAGACACCTAGGAATTGATACAGAAGCTCCCATCGAACCCCAGCAGCACCTAACAGGCTTACACCCCTAGAAGGAAGAACTACTTGCTCACCAGCATTCGGCCCCGACGAAGAGCTCGCTGACGGATCCTCTTCCGGTCCAATCCCTGAAAACCATGCAGGAACTGAACCGAAACGCTGCAAAAACTGGGGAGGCTCTACCTCTCCACCGGCCGCGATCTGCTTCCTCAATCGAGCCCGCTGAACAAAAGTCAGACCGGAACTTCGTTCGGTCTGCTCTAGCTTTATCTGAGCCTCCCTCCAAGAACCCTCATCAAACGAGGACGAACCGTCACTATCTAAACCATCCCCTTCAGCAGATCCGGTCTGAGCTTCAGCCGCGAAAGCACTATCATCTTCGCACACTGGCACTTCAGGGCCCTCCGCAACACCCGAACAAACCGAACTTACTGCCCTACCAGGCCAAAACCATCCCGCGCCTACAACACAAACCGCAGTCACTATCCAAGCAACAACCCAGAACAGCCACTCCTGACCCTCTCGAATCCCAGGATGATCAGGCTGTCCCTTCACACGCGGTACCAAGGCGAGTAGGGCGAGGCCTGCCAGCAGTTCGGCAGGAAGAACCGTTTGACTACACACACTTCGGCTCAAGACCCTTGCGGACGCAACTTCAGCTACATCAGGTCTTGGCGCTCTTATATTTGCAAGATTAAGTAGGTGTAGGATACGGGGCCGGCTTAGTGGTTTGGTTCCGAGGTCGGCTATCTGCACGTCTCCAGGGATATGGAATACACGGAGTATTCCCGCGTCGATGCGTTCCCTAGCAGAAATCGCCCTCATCCTCAAGTGGCGGCTACGCCAGCCACTGCTCACCGGGTCGAAAGATCTGAGAGCTGCTTGATTGTCTCCCTGGAGGGAGACAACCGTGTCCTCCCCAAGGAGTTCATCGAGCAATGATTGAATGCATTCAGAGACTTGGACCCCGTGTACCATGGTAACCAGCTCTGCCTCTGCACTACTAAGCGTTGTGAAAGCTTGGCGGGCTGATTCCCAACCAATCGGTACCCCTTTCCACAAAACAATCAAAGACTGCATTGATCTATCCCCACCGGGGCTGTGGGAAGCATCTGTATACACTTCCAAAACCTTTGCAGATCGGGGCAGGGCTAGCAGGCCGTGGTCAGCGAATGGGCTACCAACCTCAAAAGGCACTTCTATCGCAAGATCAATGGTAGACTTCAGGTACTTAATGGTCTGTAGACCGATAGCAATTGAGAGCTGCGGTACCTTCGTTGCCATTTGCCCACATCGGGACACTGCGTATGAGATATCCGGCCTCGTACGCGTTGAAACCCACAACAGCGCTCCGGTAACAGCTTGAGCTTCCTTTATTTCCGAAGGCGTCACTGACTCCGGCAATTCCGGGTCAGACCACTTCGTGATAGGCACCGTCGCTTCCTCCGTGATGTTATAGCGCTGGAGAAGTTCACGAATGTATGCACTCTGCGCCAACCTGTATCCCGAAGCTGTTCTGGAGATTTCCAAACCGCAGAACGTAACTGCTTCCTCTCCAATCCACTCCGGCTCCGACGTCTTCCAGAGCATGCGCACAACCTTGATAACCTGGTGAGCCAGTTCAGACTCAGCAAACAATGCCAAGTCGTCCACATAGACAACCAAAATACCAGCTATATCCCCCAGGCCATCCGAAGTATTCGGGCGCAACACCCATAGCGCATCATCCGACTTAAGCTGAACTAAATGATAATCTATACCGTTATGGGGAATCCGCAGTTTGCGAAACTCTCCATCACGGTACCTACCCCAATCACGCGGAGACGTAGGCAGCCCATACAGAGCCTTCTTTATCCACCACCGATGCTCAGCATTTAAGATTCCCAACTCAACCAGGAAATGCGGCGGCTTCACAATAATACGCTCTTCGGTCCCTTGGTTTTCAGTCCTTATAGGAGCATACAGGAAGGCCGATTTCACATCGATCGTAACTCCCACCCAGGTCACGTACCCAGCAGCAAAAGTAACCGCAACCTTAACCGACAGAGCCTCGGCTCCTGAAGCGTACAACTCCTCTCTGGTAAGACCAAGCTGCTCAGTAGGTAAATAGTTCCCACAGCATACTGCACGACATCTCCTCTTGCCTGTTCCAGCCTTACGTGTCAGCACAGCCTTTCCGGGCAACTGAACTACTGAGATACCTTCTTTAACCCATTGGTCAACATCAGACGCTGTTACTCTATCTACCGCCCTATTGGTGGTCTCCAAACTAACTACCTCCTCGGTCGCTGCTTCTCGCCATTTTCCAAGTTCCCCCCGGGCTTCTACCAAACTTACTGTTCTAGTCTGAAGAAACTGGTCTGCGCCGGTGACAGGATGCTCCGTCAATGGTACGTCAACACTCAACGCCCTAACAGACCCCAATCTATCCCAAACATCCCAGTTATCAACCAGCAGATTTTCAAGCAAGTCCCGCCGTCGTTCTTCACCCTTTAAAACCTCGACAGCCTGGCACAAGCTATCAGCATCTCCAGACCACTCATTCAACTCGTCCGCAAGCAATGTACACAACCGAGCCGTTGCTCCATGCTCCCAGACTAAGCCCTCTAAACAACAATCATCAAAGGCACCACTAGGGAAATCAACCTCCCATTCCTCAAGCTCTGGCTCATCTATCCGGATCGAGGCCACAGACTTCTCTCTGGAAGGCACCTCCCCTCCTGCCTCTTCTATGTTTGGAACCGGAAAACCCAAGCTCAAAAGCTGATCATAACACCCCTTTACGGCACTACGAAACTCCCGAGGTACAAAAGCTGAAAGGACCCAACGATCGCCGATCCAATCCTCTGAGGCATGCCAGCATTTTCCTGGAAACACTACCGGGCCACGCCGCAAATCATACACCGACCCTGGGCACTTAGAACCATCGGGTAGTACCCTACAAACAGTCCCTTCTTCATCCTGAAGCCACAAACCACCTCCCTTAAAATCCCCAACAGCTTGAGCACGAATCGGAAATTCGGAGGCGTTCATCAAATCCCTATGGGGAAGCATACAAGCATTATGAGAAAGGTAAACCGTAGTCCACACACCATCAGGATCTCTGTTCTTCAAAAAACCGTTCAAGTACCGGACTAGATCAGGGCATCGCATCGTGAAGCTAGAGACCCCTCTAAACCCTCCTACAGCATAAAGGCCACAAAGCACCGCAGACCCTTGCCCTTGGGCTATAGTCCTTCGAGTAGGGGGAAGCTGGTTAGCACAGCCACCGAGAATCCCTAGACACTCACCGACAGACCAATCCCCTCGACGAATCCCATCCCGTATACGGTCTCCCAAACCTCCTAAACCCTGATAAGGACCATCCCTCTCATCCCCAGACCCTTTAGCAGTAAAGCCCTTTCGAACCCAAGGATCCCTTTGTTCTAGAAAATCCTCTACTTCACTGCTCACCTCACTTTCACTTTCATCAGAGCCAGATACTTCCTCATCATTTAAAAATTCCGGAGAGGGCTGAAAAGGCCCCCCCCCAGGTGATAACCTGGCAACTCGATGACAAGTCGGCACATCCGCAGCAGCTACAACTCGCACCGCAAAAGAGGAGCGCTTACCGGTTAGGCGATGACGAGGTTTAGGGACGGCCGTCAGCTCACCCCGCACAGGAAAGATAGTACTAGTCAACAAAACCTTCCTATCTTCACCTTCCCCTATCAACACCAAATGCCCCCCTGGCGTATGCGGAGCCTGGCCAATATAAACGCCCCGTACAGTCCTAGGTCGCCACTGTGCCTCATATCCAGTTTGTGTTCGTTGGCGCGCTTCCACAGGCACTCCAAAAGGCGGCAACAACGGCTGAGGCACACCTAACCCCTCAAAGAACCTTACCCAATTTCGTGCCGATGCATGGAGCAGCGCTAATGGCCAAAACTGACGCCCCACATGGGAAGTCAGCAAAAGCTTGCGAGTACCCGCTTTAAGATTTTGCACAGCTAACTCAGCATGATTTCCAGCGGGCGCTTCTCCTGGGGTCCAGGAAGGATGGATGCCCTGGGCCCGCATCCAAGCTACCAGCGGCTTAGACCTAAGCTCCTGTGCCCGATCAGCGTGGAACCTATGTACCGGCAAGCCGTGAGCCTCTAACTTATTGATGATAGCTTGGACGTGTCCCAGAACCTCCTTCCCCCCTTTTGTTCGCAACGGGACCCCCAGAAACAGGGTTGTATTCGTTGCTGGGGCCGACTCCGACTCTTCCAAGACAATAGGGCCTACACCCCCACCTACAGGATCATCCTCAGGCCTCTTCCCTTTAACCCTGTGGGTAACAGCCTTAAGGTCAACCCCCGACTCGAGCTCCCCGAATAATTCCGGGAACAGCTCCGGCTCGGCCGCGTCACGTGAGACTTCATGCTCCTTATCTTCGCCCTCGGGCTTATCAACAGAAACAAGGGGTCGATAATTCCCTGGTACAGCATACGAACAGGCTAGGAAATATCGATAACCTCCGCCCTTATCCCTACCTGAGGCAACCGGATCGAACGAGACCCCCGGCACGAAGGGACCAGCTATATCAAAAGACGCCGAGTGTACCGTGGGGAAACCAGTACGCCAATGGGACCTACGCCTACCCTGCGCCTGTACGCACACGGGACACCCTTTAAGGTAAGGGGAGTGGTCACTACGCAGGTGCAACTCATATCGCTCCTTTTCAGTAAGCTTTTTCAACAGGGTCTCACGATCCTTAGCTTCCTTAAAACGCTCTAGATCCGCCTTCCACGTAACCCAAAAACCCTGAAGCACCCCTGCTAACCGAAGGGGCCAAGTCTCACTCCCCGCAATGTCCCCGAACTCACTAGTCCTAGCTCTGCCCGAACTGTGCCCCTGCAAATGCAGATGTTCATACAGAAACCACGAGGAGGTCCACAACTCAGCAACCCCTTTTTTTCCTACCCCAATAAAACCCCTATCAAAGGAAGCTAAATGGAATCCGTAAGCCTCCCCGAATTGGCGTCCGCCCTTTGACATCGCGACTAGCTCAGGTTCCTCAGAAGGTCTACTACCCTTAAAGGAGTCAAACTGTTCCCAAGCAACAAAGATGGGGGACAAAGCAGTAGGGTCACAAACCTTAACCGGTGGGTTGCGAAGTCGATCAGCAGCCTTAGCTAGAGCCCACTGAACCAACCCCTCAGGACTATCTACGCCTTCAGGTAAGGTCTCCGACAAATCCTCATCCTCAGCTACCAAGCTCCTACCGTCCTTTACTGCTTGTGCCACAGCAACCAGAATGAAGAACCTAAGCATAGCAACCAGCCCCCGATGAGGCTTATCACCGTCCGAAGACCCCTTAGCCCAGTCATAGCCATCCGAATCCTGAACCACACCTCCGACGACCCCAGTCAAGGCTATCCTCAACAGGTGTCCGAAAACTAACGAGCTGCCAAGCCCCTTCTCGGACCCCGTGACCTTCAATACCCTACCACAACTCTTCCAACTCTGAATCCTAGATCCACAGCAAATCAACACTGACTCCGGTGCACTTCGGTCGATAGACCGTCTCATCCGTCGATTCCACGGAAATTCTGCCCAATCCCGGCTTTCAAGCGACACTGAGGATACACAGGCGCGTGCTAAAAGCTCCAACGGAAGCCCGGGAAACATGACCCTCAGAAAGCTCAACTGAACCCAATCCTCAAGCCCTTCCTGTTCCCCGCGCCTCACCTGTCCTTGGAACCAACTTCGGACATTCCCCTTATTGAGGTCTACAACAGCTGAATCCAACTCCAGCTTTCGCACCCCGTTAGCTTTCCTCACCCTGTCCTCATACCGGCCTAACAAAGACAGCCCAACATCCCTAGGAATCAAAGGACAACCCTTCACAACATGCACCTCTAGCTTTCCCTCCTTTGGGTGCTTGATTTTACAGCCATTTCTCTTCCAGGAGATACTAAAACCAAGTTCCACCAAATAATTGGCAGGGAGAATAACCTGACAGGGACCGCCATGCAACAAAGTGCCATAGTCGTTGACCCTCAGATCCGTAACCCCACTCGCCAAGTCAACTCTGATGCTCTTAGCTCCCTTTAGCTCCTGGTCACTGGCTGGCCTTAAGGCATTCGTCGCTCCGCTGTCCACGAGACAGAACATAGGGTCAGAAGCACTCGTCAGAGCACTCCTAAGCCAGGTAAGATCCAGCCCATCATCCTCAATCCGCAAAGGCTTCAAAGTCACTCCCTTCAGCAACTTAGCCGCCTCCGCTATGAGCGCCTCCTGACTAACCCCTGGGCTGGAGCTCCCCGTACCAAGACTACCAGCACCCTCTACTGGGACCTCCGCTTTGGCACCGCCATCTTCTATCACCCCCTTAGCCTGAGCACCAGCCTTAGCCTTAGCCTTAGGCCTACCACCCTTACCTGCCGGGGATCCGGCCTTAGGAGAACTATCGGAAGCCGAAGCGGGGTCCCCTTGCACCTGTCGGTGTTCCGCTGGAACAATCGTGCACTCTGGACGGTAGTGTCCCGATTGACCGCACGCTAAACAGCGTGATTCCTTTCTAGCCTTAGCCCGATCATGTCGGAAGTGACAACTATCACCGAACCTGCAACCCGAAGCATCCGAAAACTTATGGCACAACTGCCCTACCCCCTCAGAGGCCTTACCTTTCCCCTTACCCTTACTTTCACCAGCACCCGCATTAACAGCAGCTACCGAAGGGTTCGGTGCGGTACCCGCATTCTGTGGAGGGGCGGCAGGAGGCGACGGGGCTTTAGGGGCTACGTTATCCTTACCGCTACCGGCAGTATTCAGAGCCGCCCCCCTTGCCCGCTTATCGCTTCCCCCAAGATTGTCACTAAGGGCTGCGGCTTCACTCTCCGCCTGGAGCAACCGCACGAGTTGAGTCACTCCCGCGGTAGTCGGATTGTAATCCAAGGCAATATTATGCCTAAAGGAGTTAACCCTGAACCCAACCATTGGATTACTACTCAGAAGCTGAGCAACCGACCCATCCACCCCCTTCAGGAGCAACGATGCATCGGGAAGGGTCGCATTTATTTCCGACGCCCGTTGGAATGACTGTTGCCATTTTCTTAGCACTCGAATCGCGTCCTGGAAACTCTTACAGACCTCAGGATTGACGAGTTGGCTCAACAGCTGAGCTCGTTCACTCGAGCCCCCGGGTTGGTAGGCGCAGAGAATACGGAACATAATTGCAGAGGTACTCAGCCAACGGTTAGTAATGATGTCTTCGCGCACCGACCCGGGGACGCATGCCAAAAGCAAAGTGACTGCCCTGGATTCCACTCGCTGAAACTTCTGGACATCAAATGACGCAACCACCGAGCTGGGGTCTAGTCCTAACCTCCCTATCGGATCGGCTACTAACCAACGGGAGTACCCCTGATTTGCCGCAACTTCGACCGCCCCATACCACTCATTTGCCGAAGGCGAGAGCCCAACCAAAATCTGTCTAACCTGCGCCAACCAGTTACCGCATACTACTGCACTAGTCGAAAGGTCCGCCTGCGCCAACTTAGGTAGTTCACTAATGTACTTAGCCGGCTCCTCAGGCCTTTGATCCACCCGTATCATCCCCGAAGGCATAGGACCCGAAGCAGCACCACACCCAGGTGGAACCCCATAAGCTCCCGAGCCGTACGAACCATATGGCGCACCAGCACCACCAACCTGACCCGCAGTCCCTACACACCCTAAGTCGACACCCGAACAACCCCCAGCGGCCCCTGACATTCCCCGGCCTGCTCCAAGAGCCCCGATGCCGAAGGATGGCCCACGAGGTGAAGCCGGCGGCGGGCCCGGCGGCGGGCGAATCACAGTTCCCCCCGGGGACAGAGGATAGCCGTTTTCATCAAAACCTTGAGGCAAACCTCCCGAAGACCTAGGAGTATGAAAGCCCCCCGAAGCCTCTAACGCCTGGGCGGCAAACTGCCTCATAGTCTGAACCTTAGCCAACTCTAACCCTGGGGCCGAAGGCGGAGGAGCAACCGGAGGCGAGGTACCCATCCCACTCGGAGGCACAGTCATCCCTCCTACCCCCTGAAAACCCAAACACCCCGAAGCCTGCATCATCTCCATCATCCTACGGGGATCCGCCATAGAAGGTTGGGCCTCAGAAGAGTTAGGTACACTTGCCCCTTGACCAGAGCCTCCTAACCTAGGGATTGGGAAGTGCGCAGACCAGGCCACTTCAGGCGGCCACCTACTCTGTACAGCAACAGCAGCACTGCTAGGCGGCAACCCACCATAGGCCTCAGGCAAATTTACGCCGAAAGGCGCAGCGAACGACACCGGCGAAGAACTCGGTCCTGGCATCTCGCCTTGAACACCGCTATGCCAAGATGAGTGGGAGTGTAACTCTGCAGAAGCCTCAAGACGTCTCTTCAGCACCTTATTCTCCTCAAGAACTTGGCGCAGCATCACCTCCAAGCTTCCGGTTCCACTGGCATCCGGAACCAACTCCTCTTCAGTCGTTGGCTCACCAGTAGCCACACTCGCCTTTTCCGTTCCCTTAGTCCTCTGAGCATCTTCGGGAGCCGGCACGGCAGCGGGCCCTCCAACATTCACAGGAGTTCCAGGAAAACTCGTATCGCTCATCATAGGCCTACTTTCTACCCCGGTTTCCACACGCGCAACTCTCGGTCCAACCACATCTCCAGGAACAAAAGCTGCTGAATAATCCGGCTCCGCTCCCTGGTCATCCGTCCAAGCGCCCATCTGGGCTCTCCCATCCAGTTCGCCACGGCCAGATGTGGGTGCAGCCCCACCGTCTAGTCCACCAAGGAGTCTCTGTCCATCGGCGTCCAACGAGGGCGGCCGGTTCCGCATTAGCTGAATTTCAGTCTGTACCCTTTCACTATGGAAAGGGTTAGCCACTGGCATCTGCCCTGGCTCAACCACGCCAGTTCCTTGGCCCAACTCCAAAGTGCCAGGCGAAGCCTCGCCTCTGACTCCAGCACAGGAAGTTGAACCGGCAGCACCAGCTTGACTCAAGGCTGCTTGATAAGCGGCCTCACAGGCCCCGGTGTCAGTCTCCTGCTCCTCAGGGACACCTCCACGTCTCCTTCGAGACACCGTGTCCATGGCAAAGGACTAAGGAAACTGCAATATACAAAGACGTACGTCAACAAGAACACTGTCTCACAGCCCCTTATGACTACCTACGGCTGATAACCTACGTGAAGATAAGATAAATGTTGTGACAAGATCAAGACGAAATCCCTCGACGGGCACTCTCTTTTTTCGAGAAACAAAACAGCCTTCGCGAATCACCAATGCATGCTGTGCCTGGGACTTGATCGCACGCATGTAGGGTTTGGGGTTTAGGGTGATAACTACTGTTTCGCCTCATGCAAGATGTTGACAGTATGTCGTCCGAGGACAGCGCCGTCATGAAGCCGGAGAAGTATGCCAGCCATGCACGCCACAAGGTCGTAAGTCAAAATCGGCGCCTTAAGCCTTAGAGCCCTAAAGTTCAGACCTCAGCGAGCAAACTGACAGGTCTGACAGCAAGCTTTCCAATGTATGAGGGCGGGGCTGTATAGAAGCTCACCAAATCTTGCCACAAACCGGAGTTTTTCAGAAACCAAGAAAAGACTGGTTATGGTAGCCTTAGGAAATCCGTGAAGCCTGAATGCCGCGCTTCTTCTGAGAATCTTCGGCGCAGGTCTCCCGGAGTTACTCTAGGGCTTTTCATAATTATAATTGACATTTGGTGTGATGCGGCCATGAGGCGGTCCGAAGCATCCTTTCAGGGTTTTGGTGTATGTTATACTTCAACTGCAGAGGGATACTTCGCATAGGGCTCCGATTCAGCATGTTCCTATATGCTTTGATGTCAGCGCTAACCTGCGGCAGAAAAACCATTCTGGGTTGGGAGTGTAGGGTCCCTGCCTAAACCCTGAAAAACCTGCCTGTTTAGGGTTCCTTATTATGATTTGCTTATATAAGTCCTTCAAAAGGTAGGTTATTCCGGATTAAGGTAAGCCCCACCATGTACCCTAAATCCCAAACCCACGCAGTTGATTGAAAGGAGCTGTTTGATCCAGAGAAGCTTTCGGAGTGGTTTCTACCAAGCTTTTTGGGAGCACCCCGGCTAAGGTTTAGGGTTTAGGGCGGTTGAGGGTTTAGGGGTTAGGGTTTCCGGGTTTAGGGCCGTTGGGGTTTAGGGGTTATAGGGTTTCAGGGTTTAGTGCCTTTGAGGGTTTACGGGTTAGGTTTTCCGTGTGTTGAGGAGACTCTTGTGATGCTGGGCTGCGCTTTCGTTTAGAGTCTCAGAGGCTAGGGCTTGAGTTTAGAGTCTCAGAGGTTAGGTCTTGGGAGTCAATGCCGTGGGGGTGTGAGGATCGCGGTCGAAGTGTTTGAGGTTCAAGGATGTTTAAGGTTAATGCTTGGGGCCTTGCACAACGTCTGCGAAACCCTAAAGACCAATGTAGGGGCCTCAATAACCGGAATAGGTTTTTGGGACCCATTATACTCTCATATTCAACTTATAATAAGGAACCACCAATGTAGTATTGGTAATTACCTAGGCCCTTTTTTCAACCATCGGAAACCCTTCATCCCCAATCCCACAGCCCGCTTTACACTTGCTTCGCAAGTGCCCACAAACCCTTTAGGTTGGATAATATAGGTGCCTTAAACATTAGAATGGGTTTTGTGGCCCATGATACTATAGTTATAATTGAGAAACACCCAAAATAGCATTGGAAACTATTTAGGCCCCTACATTACTGCCCCCACCCAGTAGAAGTTGAATAGTATGCATACTACAGATATATAATTCCCTGAATAGCTGCCCTCTTATACTAAACCCTCAGCCCTAAACTCTTAAGATACAAGGAGCTCAACGAAATTCTTGAGATACTATATAGAACCTATCAGCCCTTTATAATCTATATAGATCTATGAGGGCCTTCATGGTAGCCCTTTTGTGGACTGCTGCTGTATGCGGGCAGTACCCAGCCCTTAGGCTTATGTGGGGGCTTCAAGCTACCACTAGGAATGTTTAAAATTAATTTAATTAGGAAACAATTAGGAAAGTCGATTAGGAAACAATTAGGCCCTAAATTAGGAAAGCCCGGAATGGGAAATAGGAAAGTAATAGGAAAAAATAGGAAACAAATAGGAGACAAAATAGAAAAGTAGCAAAAGAGACAACATTGAAAAAAGACAAGAAAATAGAAAACTATTAGGAACCAAATTAGAAGCAAAATTAGGAACCAGCAATAAAAAGCACAAAAATAGGATCAAAATTAAACCAAATTAGGACCAAAATCAGGACCAAAATCAGGACCGAAATTAGGACATAATTCTGTTTTTCCATATTTCCTATTTTTGCATTATTTTCCTATTTTTCTTACCTACATGTTCTTATTTCCTTTCTATTTCTCCTACCGTTTCTTACTTTTCTCCTAATTTCCTTACCTTTCCTAATTTTGGTCCTAATTTTGGTCCTAATTTTTTCCTATTTTTTCCTATTTTTTTCCTAATTTTTCCTATGTTTTACCTAATTTCCTCCTAAAATTAGGAAAAAATTAGGAAAAAATAAAAAAAAATTAGGAAAACATTAGGACCAAAATTAGGACCAAAATTAGGAAAAATTAGGAAAACAGGAAGTGGTCCAAATTTTGGTCCTAATTTTGGTCCTATTTCGGCTCTATTTTGGCTCTATTGTTTTCCTTCTTGGTTCCTAATTTTGTCGTATTTGTATTTGGTCTCCTGGAATTTGGATTCTATTTATTTCCTTTTTTCGGCCTTATTTCTGTCCTCATAATTTCCTAATTATCGAATGGCGGTTTCTATTGGTTTCCTATTCGATTCCTATTCATTTCCTATTTTCAACTTCTCCATTTCCTATTCATTTCCTATTCAAATCCTAATTTAATTATTTTAAGGATTCCTAGAGTTAGAATGCAAGCCCCCACATAACCTTAGGCGACCTCAGCGTGGAGGGCTTCCGGCGACCCACGGATGCTGGATCTTGGGAAGCTGCCACGCGCCGCCTTTCTGGGTCAGCAACTGTTTTAGTTCTGGGTTAAGGGATTAGGGTTTATAAGGATCACTCAGTTTTAGTTTAGGGGTTAGGGTTTATAGGAATCGCTCAGTTCTAGCTTAATTAGGGTTTAGGGTTTATAGGACTTTGGTTTAGTGTTAGTTTTGCTTTGTGCTTCTCCGTCGTTTGGCTTTCGTCTTAAGATGTTGGCCTGTTCTTTTGTCGGGCTACTGGGCGAAGCCTAGCGGTGTCGCGTAAAGAGCTCAAGCAATAAATGCAGGCGCGGACCCTTGCGCTAGAATCCGAGACTTCATCTAGAACCCCAGACTCTCAAGGCCTATTCTATAAATCCCAAACCTTCGGCCCAAGCCACGACCTTAAACTACCATACCCTACTTTTATGTATAGGGTCTTATTAATGTATACCTTAATAAGTATATGGCGCATAGTATAGGGGCCTTACAAAAAAGTAGGCTTGGGTAGTGTAGGGTAGACTTGAATTCTAGACACACTGAAATCTCTCTACGTACTTTAGGAACATGGGCGGCTTCTGGAGGGTATCTTAAAAAAGGGCTCCCTACAGTAAGCATCCTACCATTTGGGGCTTTATTCAGCTTGAAGACAGGTTTTTTGAAGAAGGCATCCTATAAGCGAAGAGCTATAAATTTGCATGGGCATGAGTCGGTGGAGTAGGGTATGTTTTGCGGATAGCGGAGTTTGAGGGGCATGCGTTTCCGGATAGGACATCGCGGTCACATCGTCCCACTATTTCGGAACCGAGCCCCTTCCCCTAAGGGTCCTAGGTAGTGTTATGGGGAATACTTCCCCAACTCATAACAGTAATTACTAATATAGAAACCCTACATTCTTCTATATTGGTACTTTGGACCCTTTGGGTTCGGGTTTGTTGATAATGTCGACGGTAGCTCAGGTGAAGTTGGAGACTTCTGGCGTAATCTCCTTCGACTGCCTTCGCCCCGAACTATGTGCCACTTGCATGTCCATGGTGCTTGCCACAGCCCGTGTGGAGTCTATGTTGGCTTGTTTCGAGACCCAACAACCCAACAATTACAACAAAGTGGTCTAGCACGTTGGGGTACAGGGTAGACTGATGCAGGGGACTCATGCAGTAGTGTGCACTCCTGGAGCCGAAGTAAGTCTTGCCCTCAACCTAAAACCCCCAGCCCTACAAATCCCATACCCTTAAGCCCTCACCCCCTACTTCCCCACTAATTAGGCACAGTGGAGCAGCCGTGGGTGTACCGTACCTCATTGCTGTGTCCTTTCACGGCTTCTTTTGGACTCTGGTCGGGCTCCCGTCACATATGGTCATGTCTTCTCGGCCCCACACCAGACTGTACGCATTGTCCTAAAATTCGCATGGTGTTAGTATCTAACCAGCATTCTTTATACTTGCTTCTCAAAGGGTTGTTGAACTGCTAAAAAGATTAAATTGGGCTTCCATGTTCAGCCAGAGGAGAAACTGGTCGATGAAGTTCGGCAGTATCACGCCCTTGGATTTCCGGGCAGGGCGCCCAACAGTATGATCCCTGGCATCTGCTTATGTTTTAGCTTCAGGCTTTGCGGGAAAGGCTTCGGGCAGACAGCATATGTTTATGGGGGTCTCAAAGCTTGGGTCCCTTTCAAGCTAAACCCTAAACCCCTAAATTACTAAACCCTGCGGAGAGACCCTGCTCTCTTCGTCGGTTGGATGCCGAACCATCCCGAACCCTTCGCCCCCAAGCCCATGAAACCTAAAGCCCCAAACCCCCATCCTTAGCCAAAGCCCAACAAACCCTAAACCTGAAACCCAAAGACCCTAAACTGCCTAAACCCTGAACGCGAAGTTTTGCCTAGGAATACCCTAAGGCTCAAACTAGCCCGAAAGCCTTAGCCAGTATGGTCTTTGGGCGCAAAAGCCTTAAAATGTGAGTCCTTAGAGCCTAAAGTAAAAGCCAGAAAGTTGGAATATGATTATCCTAAACCCTTCATGGTAAATTACAGGGTATCCTACCCTGAAACCATATTCCAACTTTCTGGAGTTCCCTGTAAGGAATAACTATGGCCTGGTCTTGAACGAGATCGGCATGAAGGACACGGGGTGTAGTTCGGTGAGAGGTATTACAGGTATGAGCTTGTATGGGTGGTGTAGGAATCAAATCCTAAACGTTGTGTAAACGAAGCCATAAGCTTGTAACTGTAGTTGTCTTAGGAGTTGTGTTAAAATATCATTCGATGGATGGTTAAGCACATCATTGTTCTTGTGGTTCAACCGGCGACTAAGGCAAGGGCACACTTCACTCTACCCAAAGGCCTCAAAGTAGTTCCTTTTTGGGGTTCATATATAGAATCCTATAGGTCCCATAAGGTAATCCCAAAAAGGAACTACTACGGGGCCTATGGGTAAATCGTATCCCAAACTCCGAGAAGCCTTAGCTCCCCAATGCCCAGCGATTGAACTTCTTGGTTCTTGCAACTTGTTTCAGGGTTTATAGGGTTTTGGGTTTATAGGTTTATAGGGTTTTGGGTTAAGGGTTACTATAGGGTTCAGGGTTTAGGTTGTTTGCTGGTCAAAAAGGTTTTGTCTTTCGAGTTGATGGACTATTAGGAAAATAGGTAGGGACATTTCATATTTTCCTTATTGGGCTTAGGAGGACCTTATTTTGCGAATGGTTTCAGAGGCTCTAGACGGGTAGCACAGGAACCCGATTAAGAAACCCGGGGCCTATAGCTCCAAAATAGTAGGATTCATGCAAGGAATCCTAACAAAGGCCCAAGGTTTCCTTAATACGTGCCTACAAGGCCATCAAGGTTTCTCAATCAGGTTCCTGCATCAACCGGGGAAAGGGTGACTGACAGGACACATTTACAGCGGTGCTGCAGCATCACCTACTCGGCATTGGCGCGCGCTGCTTCGGAGGTGATGAGGTTCGTGAGAGCACACTGCTGGGACAGAGACTGGGTGGAGAAGATACTAGGCAGCTCTGCGACACGTTGTTGATGTTCATGCTTCTGAAAACCATTGAAAAAGCTACAGGGTTTTAAAGGACTTTCAAAAGCAGCTGAGGATTGGGGTGGAGACAGCCTATCGAAACATCACTCCTTCGTCGTCAGGCCGAGTTCATGTCCGAAATAAACCCGACATGGAAACCCCGAACCCCTAAATCCCTACTAAACACCTAGACCCTACACTTCAAACCCTAAACGCCAGAGCCCCTAAACCTTAAACCCTAAACCCTAACTACATCTTGTGTGCTGGCTGACCTTTGTCTCCACTTACTCTTGTCCTGTTTGACATCCCGTGACTCGAGCCACACACCGCAGTCCCTGAACTCCAAAGCGCAAACCGTAGAAACAGCCCAGACAGTAGGATATAGATGCTGAGGAGCTTTCCGAACAAGAAGCATCTAGTAGACCTACTTGCTATTTTTGGACCTTTTTGGTGTTTATTAGAGTTTATGGGTCTAGGGTTTACGGTTTTGATTCTACGACCCTGAGAGGTATCGACCAGACGAGGATCGGATGCTGGATATGCATGTGGACGAATGCGACGTGACTTTCAACTTTGGCCTGTCAGACACAGGCATCTTCGCGGGCAGCGACCTAGCACCATGGCTTACTTGGAGGTTCAAGAGAGAGACAGAGAGAGAGAGAGATCGCGGGCAGCGACCTAGCACCATGGCTTACTTGGAGGTTCAAGAGAGAGACAGAGAGAGAGAGAGAGAGAGAGAGAGAGAGAGAGAGAGAGAGAGAGACAGAGAGCGAGAGACGGAGAGACGGAGAGACGGAGAGACGGAGAGACGGAGAGACGGAGAGACGGAGAGACGGAGAGACGGAGAGACGGAGAGACGGAGAGACGGAGAGACGGAGAGACGGAGAGACGGAGAGACGGAGAGACGGAGAGACGGAGAGACGGAGAGACGGGAGAGACGGGAGAGACGGGAGAGACGGGAGAGACGGGAGAGACGGGAGAGACGGAGAGACGGAGAGACGGAGAGACGGACACGGAGAGAGAGAGGGCGAGAGGAAGTGAGGAAGAGAGGAAGAGAGGGAGAGAGGAAGAGAGGAAGAGAGGAAGAGAGGAAGAGAGGGAGAGAGGGAGAGAGGAAGAGAGGAAGAGAGGAACAGAGGGAGAGAGGGAGAGAGGAAGAGAGGAAGAGAGGGAGAGAGGGAGAGAGGTAGAGAGGGAGAGAGGGAGAGAGGAAGGGGGAGACAGAGATAACGAGACAGAGAGAGAGAGAGAGAGAGATAGATATAGAGATAAAGATAGACGATTGAGATAGAGATGGCGATGGCGATGCAGCTAGGGGAAGAGGTAGAGGTAGAGGTACAGAGACGGGAGCCACGCGCGAGGAGTGATGAAATCCTGCATATGAAGCCAGCAGCTATTCCCCAAAACCAAAACACGAGGCATCTACATCCATTCCATATATCCATGAATCCCCTTATCCTGGAGCCCTTAATTTGCCCTGTCATACCCCGAACACGCCTCATGACTTCAGGAGTATTTTCTTGGACTGACTGATTTTTTGGGTCTGTGAGCACACTCAGGTGTTCTGCGGCATGCTGGGATCTGCCGACCAGCGCCCCCTGTCTCGGAGTCCCTTTTTGGGGAATCTCAAGGATTTTAGTTGGGTTCTGCTGACAGGTTTCGAGTTTTAGTTTGCGCGGGGCCTAGACGATGAAGTGTCTAGGACCGACGAGTTTAGGCTTCAGAGGGCTTCGGCCGTGACCATGTGCTAGAGTTTAAGGTTTGGGGAACAACATGGAGCCGATAGGAGTTTCCCTCGTATATACGGGCGTGCCTCAATGGGTGGGGTCGTGGGTGTACTGCTACTCGTCGGTTGAAGTTTACATACCCACATCATATATCTTAAACGCACCCCCTCATTCGGCGATTCCGGTTCACCACTTATCTTAAACACCCGCCCGCTTATTTGGCGATTCCGGTTTATTATACTGTATATATCTTAAACACTCCCCTTCATTTGGCTTTTTCGATTCATCACGTATCTGGAACACGTTCCCGCCCTCCTTCCCTCCTTCCTTTGACATAGAAAGACCAGTTTGGGAGTGTTTAGGTGCTACAAACACTTTTTTAATAGCATTTCAGAGTTAGGTTTTATTGATACCTACTTGATTTCGTTTTGATCCCTGTTCGTTGTATTGACGATTATTGTGTTGTTTGAGTCTTATCTCCCCACATCCTGCTGTCTGAATGACTATCACCATGGTTCTGGGATGATGAATATGATGGGTCTTCCACAACACTCCTGATCCTGAGGAAACTGCGATGATCATCTAAGTAGTTATGAAAATGACTCTGATAATTTTGGTCTTGGAAGGGAGGTCGTAACAGACCTTCTAGAGCCTTAGGTTTAGGACGTTCTCGTTAAAGTTTGTGTCTTCCCTCAAGTCGTAAAGCTTAAACCAGGTGAAGTCCATAACAGCCGTGATCGATGAATGTACTAGAACGGACGGGCAACAGTTTGGCGTAAGGTTGAGATGCTACTCTAGTTAGTTGACATCCGAAACCGCAAGGCCCGCAACTCGAAACGTTTGGGCATCTAGGGAAGGGGTACAGACCCCAAACTTTAACCTCCAAACACCACCGCCCCAAGCTCAAACCAGAGCTGCCTTGCCGAATGGACAAGCCTTAAAAGGGTCCGACAGAGAGCTGAGGAAAGCATCGCCATACCTATCGTCACGAACAGGGCCGATGTATTGTGCACCGTGGCCTTGGACGTTGGCCGTGGGATCGTGGATTCAGGTTTCATGTTCAAGGCGCAGGGTTTGCAGTTAAAGGCTACGAGGGTCATCGTTAAAACCTTCGCGTTTGGGGATGTACGCATGGGATGTAGGGTCGAGGTCGTGGGGTGGGGTGTGTATAATTTAGATGCTGGCCTGGTCTGCAGACTATACGTGGATATTGGGTAATGTCGACTTCGGAGAGATAAACTTCAGAACGCAGGAGCCGTGTCATGACTATATTCTGTATTCAAGAGGTTCATCAATCAGGGGTCTCACTTCCCCCCCCAAGCTCTCCACCCTTAAATCTCGAAGGACAACCTGCAACCCCGAACCTCAATGATTCAATCACCCAGCATAGTCTGAAAGCCTGCGCAGGACACCCCTAAAATCCTATAAGCGCTAAGCAACTTCTGGCCCCCAAAGCCCAAAGCCCTACATGCTAAAGTCAACCTTTCATCCGCCCTGGGAGATCTTTCCAGGCATGCTGGCAAGCGGCGCCACGGCGCGCTGCCGATTTCTGATGGGGAGCGCTGCAACCTGATCCTTGCTTGCCCAGGAGACCTTGTTGAAACCTTCAGAAGACAAGGAACCCCGAATGCGGGCCGGCTCGCAACATGTTTTATGCTACGAAGTTGACCTTGGAACGGGATCCCAATTCTAAGCATGTGGTGCCTCAACGCTATCATAACGAAACAGTAGGGAAAAGGGTACGCTTGTTATTAAGGGGCCACTCGGGAACCTAGGAGTATAGGGAAGCGGGCGTAGGATCTCGATTAATTTGGATCTTGAGTGGACGAAATCGTATTGCCAAGGCAACAAGAATACTTTCACAAGGAAACCAAAGAGCAAAGCATACTTCAGTGGAGTACATATAGCCATCCCAAAGCAAGCAATGGTCAGGAAGTTTAAGGGCTTTGGGCTCATGCAGTCTGGGTATGATGTTTTTGATGGGCCTTCAAAAAACCCCGATTCCGCTTATTCAGGCAGGGATCCCACACCGTCCTCCAGCTTCCAGACCTATTGGACACTTCCCTCCGCATCTACAATCGGACTCCGGCAACTCAGGATTATGTGGACCAAGAGCCCAACTTTTCGTGATTCAGACGGTTACCTGCTGAGGCGCTTTGTTGCTGGGCTCCCACAGTATACTGCTCTTTGTTTTGGGGGTTGACGGGTTTTGCGTTTTTCGTAAGAAAGGATCTTTAATCTACGTCACTTTATTGAAATTTAATGCTCTTCTTCCTGGGTAGTCTACCCTTAGGCCCCAAAGTAGTTCCTTTTGGGGATTACCTTTTAGAGTTCTATATATGAACCCCCAAAAGGAACTACTTTGGGGCCTATGGGTAGCTTGAAAGGAGTTTTAGTCCAACGCCCTGAGGACTGAAGTCTTAATTCTAAGCCCTAAGCTGTGAAGCGTCTGAGCTGCGATATGCCTCCCTAAGGGTCCATGTACTTATATAGTATATACATTAGGCCTTAAAGTACTCCCTATATAGGTAAGTTGGGCCCAAAGTATATGCTATATGGGTACATGGACCCTTGTGGCTTTAGTTTAACAAGCTTTGCTGGACAGGCCCTTGTGGTGTGATTCTTGCCTGCGGCTGAACTTCTACATATATGTGTATATATGCACATACATATACGTGGTCACGCGCTCCGCCTGCGCCCCCCCCCCTCCCCCCTCCTTCACCCCTGCAAGCCCTAAACCACTGAGTTCTATAAAGCCCTACAAAGGTTCGACAAACTTCTGTACAACCCTCCACCGCGAAACGCGTAAAGCCAGCAAGCTGAACAATTGTAAAATCAAAATCCGGTTGCAAGCAGCTGCACACAGCCGTCGGCAATAAAGATCCAAGGCACCCGTGCGAAAGAGGTCTCGCAGCCCAGATCCTGGGCTTTTCAATGGCGCGTGCTGTGTTGTTAGGTCCGTCTGTTCCCATGTTTTTGTGAGATAGTTAGCCCCTGGGTACGGTCCCCACTCAGTAATAGTTGAATAATATTCATAATATAGATATATTAGGACCTCAATAGCAGCCCTATCATATACTCTTACTGTTTGGGGGCAGTACCTAAGTTAGCCCTAGCAACTGCAAGCAACCCAAAGCTGTGGGAGATTGCACAGCCCAGGACCGGATCTGTCTCTCCCAGACCCACGACTCTGACTTCGGAGTGCAAATTGCCAAATTCGATCTTACAAGCTGAGTAGTACAGGGTTATATAGGTATATACATATATATATATATATACATATATATATATATGTACATATGCATGTAATTTTACATACAGGGTTATGAGGGCTCTTAGTGGTTTGCGCAACTACAATGGAAATTCTTCGACACAGGATAGGTTTAATGTTTGCATGTTGTTGCTGGATTTAAGATCCGGCCCGGCTTATCGGACCTTCGTTCTACGGGCTTGTTCAGTTGCTCTCTTTTGCGGATTGTTGCGTTAATTAGGCGGCTTGTCGCAACTGAGGTTGCAACCTTGTTTTCAGGGGGTTCCGCTGTAATCTCGTAGCAGTGATACGGCTGATGATACAATTCCGTCATTACCTTAATGACCCTAGACTATGAGAGTTATGGTATATTCCCATCATGGGCTATGCAGGATAGTATGCAGGAGATATGTCATCAACGGTAGCTTGCTTTTCGTGGTTGGTCGGTTCAACACCTAGGACCTAGGATCCCAAACCTCTACCCTAAAACTCTGATCCGGTTTTGCCATGGCCAGTTTACAGGTAGAGTTACAGATTGGGTAATCCCACGTAGCTACTAGAAATCCAGCTAAAGAGCTCAGGTACACCATGGTACACCGCTTGACTTATGTGTAAGGTGGGCCACACGATGCAAACCCGCAAGGCGTTACGACGTAAGCTGGGACGGCTTCGCAACCCTAAACCCTAAAACACAAGTAAGGGCCTACGTTCCACGGAAGTATTAGTTTGCCCTTGATTGTTCTTTTTGGGTTTCCTTGTTAGTGCCAAATAGTAGGAAAAAGAGTGCCCTTCGTAGAAGCAAGCTGGCGAGTCGGGAACCGAGGGCTACAGTGCACACCTGTGTGCACCAAGCCGCGAGCTCTGCGATTGCGGGAAAACGAGAGATCTCGGTGCGTTCCTTCCAAAATCCCTTAACCAAGGAAGGCATGTACCTTAAATAAATGAGTGATCCTACCATAATGTCCTACCACAATGTAAAGCCTATTCCGTAATTTAAAGGATCCTTGACCCTTGTTGTTGAGCTTAATGTGGCGGTCGGTTTAGCAGTAGGGTACCCCCCCCCCCCCCGACCAAAAAGTTGCGGTCGGTTTAGTATGGAACCGGTAGCCCCGGACAGGGGTCAGGGGTCTGAGTGGGGCTCAGGGTCTGGGTGGCTTTGATTATTTAAGTAAATTAGAAGGGGGTTGCGGGGTCGCAGCTAGGGTCTGGGTGGCTTTGATTAATTAATTAAGACAATTAATTAAACAATTAGAGGGAATCGGGAGTTTGGGTGGGGGCTTCAGGTCGTGGCTGCCTTAAGATTGACCATCAGCAAACAGCACAGCCCCGCCACCAAAAAATTCTGCCAGCCAAAAAACTAGAAGACAATTGGCCCGAAAGCATCATCAGCGAAGATTGTGGGGCTATGTGATAGATCCAGTGTATAGGATCGTAAAGTCACAGAGTCAAGAGTCATAGAGTCCATGAGTCATGAGTCATAAAGTCATAGAGTTGCAGTGAGATAGCGTCATAGAGTCATAGTGAGATAGAGTCACGGAGTCATGGAGTCATCTATGTACCATGCACTTGACTCGATGTAGTTCACTCTATGCTCTATGTGTGGGAACGCTTAATCGAGATCCCCATAGCGTGAGGGCTCATAGCCTGACCTGGACCTCGAGAGGCACATGCATTTGCCAATCCCTCTGAAGGGTTGCCAATTGACCTGCTGCACACCTACCGATTAGAACATAGAACACTCGAAGAAGCAAATCCCTCTCATGGATTGCGCGGGGCACCTAAAATGTGCAACTTTACCCAGCGTTTCAACGCTCGACCAAGCCAATCCCTGTGAAGGGTTCCGCGGGCACCGCAAAATATGTAACTTCACCTCGCGTTCGAACACTCGACAACGCCAATCTGTGTGAAGGGTTGCAAAATTCATCTCAATGCTCATCAAAAATTGCAACTTTACCTCGCGTTCGAACACTCCACCACGCCAATCCCTGTGAAGGGTTGCAAAATTCAGCTCAATGCACATCAAAAATTGCAACTTTACTTCGCGTTCGTGCACTCGACCACGCCAATCCCTGTGAAAGGTTGCAAAATGCCAATCCCTGTGAAGGGTTGCAAAATGCAGTTGAGCTGTGAAGGGTTGCGCGGCGCCCGCAAAATGTGTAACTTTACCTCGCGTTTGAACACCCGAGGAGGCGAATCCCTGTGAAGGGTTCACGGCGCCCGAAAAATTTGTAACTTTACCTCGCGTTTGAACGCCCGAGGAGGCGAATCCCTGTGAAGGGTTGCGCCGGGCGCCTAAAATGTGTAACTTTACCTCGCGTTTGAACGCCCGAGAGTTCCAATCCCTGTGAAGGGTTGCGCCGGGCGCCTAAAATGTGTAACTTTACCTCGCGTTTGAACGCCCGAGAGTTCCAATCCCTGTGAAGGGTTGCGCCGGGCGCCTAAAATGTGTAACTTTACCTAGCGTTTGGGCGCCCGAGGAGGCGAATCCCTGTGAAGGGTTGCACGGGCACCGCATTAAGTTAAAAAATGTGTAACTTTACCTAGCGTTTGGGCCCTCGCCCATGCCAATCCCTGTGAAGGGTTCACCCGGGCGCCTAAAATGTGTAACTTTACCTCGCGTTTGAACGCCCGAGGAGGCGAATCCCTGGGAAGGGTTGCGCGGGACCCCTAAAATGTGTAACTTTACCTCGCGTTTGAACGCCCGAGGAGGCGAATCCCTGGGAAGGGTTGCATTCCCGATGGACGACAACGGTGCCACCCCTGGCTTTAGAAGAGAGAATTAGATACCGAGATGTAGAGAGTAAGTCATAGAGGCATAGAGTCAAGTAAGTAAGTAAGTAAGTAAGTAAGTAAGTAAGTAAGTATAAGTAAGTATAGAGATAGCATAACATAGAGTCCAGTGTCAAGTGTCAAGTAAGTAAGTAAGTAGAGTGAAGTAAGTAAGTAGAGTGAAGTAAGTAAGTAAGTAAGTAAGTCGTAAGCATAACATAGAGTCAAGTATCAAGTGTAGAGTCAAGTATCATAGAGTCAAGTGTCAAGTGTAGAGAGTCAGTCATAGAGGTCAAGTAAGTAAGTAAGTATCAAGTGTAGAGTCAAGTATCAAGTGTAGAGTAAAGTATGGAGTCAAGTAAGTTGATTCTATGTCTGTCATCTATGTACTCAGCTGCGGCGTTCCACACGGAAGAACCCTTCGCGATGCTTTCGGGAAAACGCATTAATTAGACCGCCCAATTTTTTGGTACCGGTCGGAATTAGCCCCCGAGCCGACGCATTAAAGGAGCCCATACTCCTAAACCGACCGGCACATTAAACCTTTTGCATCAGTGCTTCAGGGATCCTACCGATAGTTTACGGGATTCTATCATAATTGAAAAGGTGTAGTCCTTGATTAAGGGATTTTGGAAGGTCTGGGATTCGGGGGCTGAGGGGCGGCTGCGGTGCTTCAAACGAGCCTTTTGCCTTAACTCCAAACAACCTACCTTTTTAAGGACTTGTATAAGGAAGTCATAACCTAAACCCCCAAAAGTAGGTAAAACAATGGCCCAACACCTTTAAAAGGCCATTATTCTACGGACCAGTATAACTTCTAACATTCTAACCCCTGTGTTTCACATGGGAGTTTTCCGAAAATACGTGGTACCTTGAAAGGGATCCATAAAGGGTTCAGGGTTTAGAGTTTCCGAAAATAAGGGTACCAGGGTGCTTATAATGAGGATCCTACTATGTAGGGTGCTATATAAAGGGTCACGGAAATGCCTTATGATCTCTCAGAAACGATATAAGCCCTCTGGCTGTTGAGTTTTAGTATTCTATACCCTGAGCCTTGAAACCCGTCAATCCCAAAACCCTGAAAGCCCGAAGCCCTCTACCTGTTATAACTTTTTGACATACTGCACAAACCCCTAGAACCCCCGGGGGCCCCTTGACCGCCCTATTCTAGGTGATATTCCCTCTTTAAAACCCAAACATGCTAAACCACTAAGTCCTAGACCCCAGAGACTCCAATATTTCTTGTCGGAATATTCCTTAAATCATATTAGGGACCCTACTATAGGAATATTCCTTAATCAAGGGATATTGGAGTCGATGGGACCCTCCGACCGAGTCCCTACGCCTCAAAAAAGACCCTACATGCACGAGATCAAAACTGGTCTTCCGTGGAGGAATGGGCGGAGAGCGAGATCGGAAGAGACCTTTGGCCTTCCTTCGCCGGACTTTTGGAGTTGCAGCGGCCTCAGCGAAGCCTCTGCTTCCAAGCTGATATGGAGTTCAGAGTTTAAGGATTTATGTAGAAACCCTTGAAATTCAGATAGAGAGAGAGAGAGAGAGACAGACAGAGAGAGAGAGAGAGAGAGAGATATATATATATATATATGTATATATATATATATATATATATATATATAGCGCGAGAGAGAGATAGAGAGAGAGTCTGAGTCTGAGTTTGTGCGTGTGTGAGTTACTTGTAAAGGATGAGCATGAAACTGATTTAGGGTCTTATGAAGGCTGAGGGCCCCAAGTCTTGCGGGTAGCAGGTTCCGGAGCAGAAGCTTCGCAGCCTCGGGTCATAATGAAGCTTGCTGTGCTGGATTTTTACGGTTTCATGGTTGTTGATGTTGAGGTTGGGGGATCTACGGATTGTTCGGGCGGCCGCGACAGGAGCTTAAGGCAGGCCGGTAAACAACCTCAAGCTACGATGCCCTTCGCTTCAATAAACCACCCAGATCACAGGAACCATATGAGGCAGCTGCACTGTTACTTGAAATAAGGGACACACAACGTGAAATGATGCTTCGCCGATGGCGAGATCATGTGCATCTCGTGAAGCCATGCTGTGAGATCATGCGGCTGTCCCGGAAATTGAAAAGCTGCACATCTTCTGCTCATGCTAAAGCTTGTGCTTTGCTCGGCAACTGCACCGTGTTGTGATTCTCACATTAATGGGCCACTCAAGGTTAGAGGTTTAGCATTAACCACAATGTTGGGGTCTGAATTTTTATTAGCAATAGTATTGAGTTGCCTTAAAGGCATCTCGATAATTTGCTTTAAAGAAGCCCCGAAATCGTACTCGAGTCATTGAGGCCCTTTGTTGTATCAGAAGTGCCCACGGATGAACCCACGGCTGCCAAGGGGAACACTCCAGCGTCTCTACAGCTTGCAGCGCATTCACAAAGAGGCTCGGGGCACTCCTGCTGAAGATTCACGAGTTGGGGTCCACCCATATGCCCCAAAGTAGTTCCTTTTTGGGGTTCATGTATAGAATGCAACAAGGTAATCCCAGAAAGGAATTACTTTGGGGCCTAAGGGCAAACTCCAAACAGCACAAAATCACTGTGTATCTTGGTATTCGCCCCCAAAGTTTGAGTCCCGAGAGCCTTAGGTGTTTCGTTCGGGTTCAGGGCTCACGGTTACTTCGGTTTGCTACAAGGTTCAGGGCTCAAGGCTGCAGGCTCTGAGCTACTATCCCTAGAGTCCCAAAGGGTCCAAAGTGCCGATATAGAATGTAGGGTTTCCATACCGATATATAATGTAGGGTTTCTATATTAGGAATTACTATTATGATTTGGGGAAGTATTCCCCATAGCAGTACCTAGGACCCTTTGGGAGTGTGCTGCAGCCTGAATTTGCCCCGAAGCTTCGCTACGTTTCAGTTTATGAAGGCTCCCAGGCTCAAGCTTTTGAGTTTGGGGTTTAGGGGTTTAGGGGTTAGGGGTTTTGGGGCTTAGGGTTTTAGGGGTTTAGGGGTTTAGGGTTTAGGGGGTTTAGGGGTTTTGGGGCTTAGGGTTTTAGGGGTTTAGGGGTTTAGGGTTTAGGGTTTAGGGGTTTCGGGTTTAGGGGTTTAGGGGTTTAGAGTTTATCTTTCTGGAAGGTGATTCCCTTACTCTCAACCCAAATCTGCCAGCCGAAAACTCTAAATCCAGCATCTTGAGAGTGAGCAAGTTTTGTAGCCCTCGCATGATTATATGATGCTAGATCATACCCCCGCCCCCGCCCCCATCCCGCAACCATGTTCCACCCTTGCAGTCCCCGACCAGTGAAGACCCTGAAGCCTTACGCGTAAACCCGCCGAGTGAAGGTCCGGCCCACGTCTCACATCTACCTCGCCACCCCTCCTGCAACTGGTGCCAAGGCAAGAGTGGGTGATTTCGGTCAAGGATGATATAGTGCCTTACTCGTTCAAAGAGAGTTCTTCACAGGGTTCTATAAGGGATTCGTGGTTGCAGGGGCCGCATAAACATTCATTAGGAATCGTGTTCGGGATAATGCGTTAGGTGGACCCGTAGAGGTTTAGGTTTTGAGAGTTAAGGCTTCCTTAAATATCCCGTGCTTTAGGATTGTGGATTGTAGAGTTAGATCATGTCAGACCCTAAAACCCCGACCCAAAACCCCATGTCCTTTCCTTAAGGACGAAAAGAACCCTAAAAGGGTTTAGGGTTCCTCTACCTCATACCAGGGTCTTCTAAGTGATGGGGTTGGGGGCTACATTTATTCTACTAGCGGAAAGTCCCTTAACTGTGGTGTTCCCTGTCCCTATAGCTTAAAGTCCTTTAAGTGTCTTGTTTTCTGTCCTGTGTGCTCCAAGTGCCATAATTTAGGGCCCGAGATTATCTGTTGCGAGCAGTCTTGAAACACAAACCCAGAAATCTAGCGTGTGCCATGTAAGATTCATGCGACCGGTATTGCATCAGAAACTTAAGAAATCTAGCAAGTTATGGCGGCCATGGTCACTCGGAGTTAGCGGGATGAAAAGACCCTACGCCTATCCGAAGTGAATACGGTGGTTGAAAGTGCCCTCGTTCGAAATGCTAACATTTTGCTGCCGGCCCCTCCAAAGCATCATGACTTCATGCTGGTGGTTTAAGCAACGCTCTTGGAGCTCTGAAGGCTTGGGCCGCAACCTGCAATAAGGAAAGCAGGTAGGGTTTAGGGTTTAGGGTCCGGCTTGTCGCATGCAGTCATTCTTAGGCGCAGTAAGGCCCTTTTGAAAGCGACATCAAGGTATACATACGGACCTTAATCTTATTGACGGCACTGGGGTCCTTATCAAGGAACCATGGCCGATAGGTTGGACTGGTTACACGGGCAGAAGCTACTGATTGTTTTGGTGTTACTAGGAGTCTGGCGATGTTCTTTTCTGCATGCTTGTTTAAGGCTTCGAATTTAGAAGGCTTCACGCGCTGATACAGACAGGCTCATGTCAAGCCTGGCAATTGGGGGTTGAGAGTTCAATGGTTTCAAGACTGGCTTTAAACCCCAAGCTTTGCCCTAAACCCCAAACCCTGAACCCTTCCGGTTGCAAGACGGGCTTATACTAAACCCTAAGCCCTAAACTCTAAATCCTAAACCCTATAAAGCCCAGAGAGGGGAAGGACCCGAAGCCCTTCACGACTGAGAGCTTGCTTGTGTACCAGTATCCTATGCTTGTATTAGCGCTTGTGTCAAAGTTCGTGTCTTTCTCCTCATCGCTTCAGGCTTGCAGTCAGTCCAGGTTTTTGGGCTATAGGTGCCGGCTTTGCTACAGAAGCCTCACTTCCTGGTGGACGCGCTGAAGTCTCGAGTAGCTAGCTGAACCCTAAACCCTAAACCAACCCTAAACTCTACACCCTAAACCCTGCTGGGACGTTCGCCTGGAGAGGCAGTCCCCCTCTCCAGTATGTTTGGGATACGGGAATTAAATTAAGTTTCAGGGTAGAAGAACCGAAAGGAGCCCTATGAACTTCATGACTCGTTATACCCCAAACCCTCGAAGCTTAGAAACCCTTCATCCCAAGACGGTGTAAGCCCCCAAACCCTAAGCCCTACCCATAGGCCCCAAAGTAGTTCCTTTTTGGGGTTCATATATAGACTCCTATAAGGTAATCCCCAAAAGGAACTACTTTGGGGCCTAAGGGTAAGCCCTAAACCCCTAAGCAACAAGCCAACAGGCTCCTACCTCGGATCTGTTGATGAGAGCTTTGTTCCTGTCCCGCCTTCGCCTCAGACGGCGGGTGGAGTTTGGGGTTCGAGGTTTGGGATTTAGGTTCCAGGGTTTAGGGGTTAGGGTTTAGGGGTTTAGGGTTAGTTTAGGTTCCTTAAAATCGGCTTCCAAGTTTGACAGGCTCCTCCGTGATTCAGTTGCTTCAGAAGCTTAGGGCTTAGGGTTTCTGCCCCGAGTGCAGCGGCTCTGAGATCCATGCAGGCGGGCATATACAAGTCGGTGCAAAAGGGTTTAAGGACAAGGTCTAGGGTTTAGGGCCCGGGAGGTTTCATGCGCTCGTCAGGTTATCGCAACCCGCAGAAGTTCTGCAGGGTTCCAACAGGTACAATTTGGATGTAATATGTTCGGGGCAGTGTTGTGGTAGGGTCTAGTGTTCGCCGGTGTGGGGGGGTTAGGATTCCGGGGTTCGAAAGGGCTTGGGCTCGTTCGCCCCCAGTCATCCCTCTGAGGTTCGCCCCTTACGCCCGCCTAGCGTAACCCAAGTTCCTTACAGCAGAAAATGGAATATCCTTCTAAAATCATATCTTTTTTGTAAGGTACATTGGTTACTCTACCTAGTAGTAGAGTAGGCAACCTTGAACCTTTTTTTAGTATAGTCCCTGTATAATCCCTATATAACCAACAAGGTTCACCTTTAGTTCCCCATGATACCCTACAAGTGGATGGTTGTCAATATTAGGGTCCCTTTTTGAGTCCTTATTATAATACGGCACCTAATATTTAGGGTACCCAAAAAGGAACCCTAATTTTGACAGCCACCCAATTAGGTCAAGGTCAACCCTAAACCAGTGTTCTCAACATGAAGAACGAGCAGCTGCACCCTCGATCCAGGCCAGAAGTCTAAAATTGGTACCTCTTTCTAGGGACTCCTTAAAGAGATCTACAAGAGTTTCGAAAAGGGTACTGTAAGGGTAGTCCTCTAAATTAGGGTCCGTTTGAGGGTCCCAAATAGTACGGCACCCGTACAAAAAGGATCTTAAAAGAGAACCCATTGTAGAGAACTGCCGATAAGCCATAAATCCGCGCAGAGTCTCAGCCCAATGGTACAGGGTCCTCATGACGGTCTTTCATTTCCGAAACTCATACTTATAACCCATATTAGGGGACTTATGACCCCACTTGTAACTACCCATGAACCTCCGAGCAATCCGAAGTCCCCGGCCTTAAATGGCAAATTCTCGAACCGCCATTTAACATGAAGAGTGTAGGGTCTAAGAACCGCAAAGGTGTGGACAAAGACTCGTTCAGCACCTCCCTGACGGACAGCTTGGACGTGGCACTCGAGGAGGTGGAGCACGCCCGGCACTTGACTGTTGGGGGGGGGGGGGGGGGGGGGGGAAGCTTTAAACCCTAAACCCTGGATCGGTGTTCTTTCCTAGGGATGTTAGTGTTTAAGGTTTCAGGCGTCTTCCCGAAGGCTCCACATGCTCATGCTGTCTATACTTGTGGCGGGTTTTGGGCTTCGGGTATATAGGGGTTATAGAGTTTACAGGGCGAATAGGGCTCATAGGGTTTAGGGTTGGGAAGAAATGGGACGTCGGAAACTTTCAGGGGTTTCGAGGGTTGATGGAAACAGTGGACATTGCCATTTAGATGGCCCTGAAGCCCTTAGCCTCTACTCATAGGCTGCATAGTAGTTCCTTTTGCGGGTTCATATCTAGAATCCTATGAAGTAATCCCAAAAAGAACTACTATGGAGCCTATGGGTATAGCACTCCTACAAAAGGTCCCGTATAGGAAAGACTTGCCCAACCATTAGTTTGTGTGCCCTGTCTTCCTAGAAGAACACTGAGCAAACTTCGGTACTCCTACTCTATAACACTGTTGCGATATACCCAAGTACCATCAAGTACTTCACGTACCTATATTTATATGATTACAGGGGCTTCGGGCCCAAAAAACCTCAAACACAAATCCATGACACCGTGCAAGACCGACTATGGAACCCCGAATTAATGGTTGCTGCGGAGCAAAGGGGTAAGCTGCAATAACCCTAAGGGTCCAAGTACCTAATCATCACATTATATATATATATATATAGATACCCTCCAAATACTAACCTACATACTTACTATTCTACTACCGGACTAGCTTATGAAGAAGTCTTTTGGACCCTTAGCGGGATCCCAAGGCAATGCTGGATCCTCGCGTGGCCAAGTTTGGCACGGGCCTCTGCTGCAATTTCGGAGATCGTTGGTGCTTGCTCCTTGTTACCATTAGCTCTTGCTATTGTTGATGTTGCTGTCGTTGTTTTGCAGTGTTGTGCTTGCTGATGTGATTAAGGTGCTTTTTGTTGGTTGATTTAGCGGGGTAGTTTACAAGGATTCGGGTTTGGAGTGTGTGTGGTGTAGGGCAGGGTTTCCGTGGTGTTCTCTTGGACCTGTCGACGAGTGTAGGGGTATGCAGAAGTCTCCTAAGACTACTTCCGCCACCCCTCCGAAACCCGTCACCAAACTCTAACCTCAAAATCCTGGAAGCAACATCCAAGATTGCGGCAGCAGATCTTTTCGTTAGGCGAACCGAGCATGTTTTTCTTTTGGGGGCCTCAACAATTACCTATACTATTTTGGGGGCTGCTTATTGAAATTATAGTATAATGGGCCCCGAAACCCTATTATAATTATCAAGGCCCCTACATTACATCCTTGCTGAGCAGACATGTCACGGAACGCTGCCACATAACCCCTGGATCGGCCTGAAACTCGAACCTTAACCCTCAACTCCCTACTAAAATGCGCACCCCTAAGCGCTAAACCTAACCCCGACCTTAACCCTTAACCTACCCTTTTAGGGTTCTCTATTATGATTTCCTTGTATAAGTCCGTACCAAAGTCGGTTATTCCGGGTTAAGGTAAGCTCCGTAAAATGTGCACAGCCCTGTTTCGGAGGCCCATCCGTCACAAGCCGCATCTTCGTGCATTTCGTCTGTGAGCTTGACATGGAGTGAGGGCCTCGCTTGGTTTTGGGTGCGGTTTCGGGTTTACCCTAAGGCTCCATAGTGGTTCCTTTTTGGGGTTCATATTTTGAATCCTATAAGGTAACCCCAAAAAGGAACTACTATGGAGCCTCTGGGTAGGGGTTATTTTCGGCGGGTTTGGGGTTTAGGTTAGGTACTGCCCCCATACAGTAAGAGTCTATAGTAGGGCTACTATTAAGGTCCTAATATGTCTATATTGTGAATATTATTCAACTACTACTGACTGGCGGCTGGCGGCCGTACCCAAGGTTTAGGGTTTAGGTCTTGGACTTTAGGGTTTTAGGGTCTATGGGTTTTGGGTCTCAGGGCTTCTGGGGTTTCTGCGAAGATGGTCAGGACGAGGAGGAGGATGGGATTGTCACGGTGATACGTTGGATGATGGAGAAAATGCTGAGCATTTCTGCCATCTTGGTCTTGATTGAACTCACAGCAGAACATGGCCCAAAACTCTGAAGCAATATCTTTTATCACAACCCAAAGTACAGTTCCACTCTGTTAGACAGCCATTGGAGATGGGCTTCATATAAAGCCCAGATCCATAAATCTGCGTCTTTGTTATCACCTTCGAGCAGCACCCTGAATCCCACAGTTCTATTTGCTGGGGAGGAGGTTCTATTAGGCTGAGCAGCATCGCTTGTCAGGACTTTAGTGCCGTCGCACGAGGCCGTGGCAACATTCCCCTATGTTGGCGGACCCTCACCTGGCTGCGGAGGCTAGAGACCAGCTACGCCGACTTCGTCGCTGCCGTGAACAGACGAACCAAGCTGTGCACAGCCGGGTCACAGGGGGCAATACAGGACAACGCTTGGCTTTTCGCTATGAGCGAACAGTTCAAGTTGCCAACGGTGCTGGGTTTCAAGGCTAGCAACCTGAAGACCACTGGGAAGAATGCGGGACCCATGTCAAATCAAGTGAGCCGAAGCAAGCCAACGGCTGAGAGCGGTTTTGACGACTGCCTTGCTCTTGCTCAAGCATTCAACTCTGGCGACACCAGCTATACCCAAACCCTGAACCCTAATAAAACCCTAAACCCTACACCCTAATTAAATCCTACATTACAAAGCAAAGCAGTCAGTGCGAAGGTGCACCACTGCCGGCCGCCTCATATGACTTTTACATGGCTTGGCTTGGCTGTAACTTTGGTCGACAGCTCACCCCAATACCTAGATCCAACCCGAAACCCATGCCCCTAAACCCCTAAACCCAACATCATGTCCTGCGAAATGAAGGTACTGCAGCCGCGAGCCGCTAACCCCAAACCGGCAGGCCCCATAAGCCTTAAGTTGTATGACACGGCTTAGGGTTTAGGGTTTAGTTCCGAAGCAATCCCCCTTCAGGATTACCCAAGCGCCGAAGGTTTGTGGCTAAAAGTTTAGGGCCCAGGGTCTTATAATCTGTAATCCCGAAGCTCGTGCTCCCGATTCCTTAGACTAGAATAATTTCCAAGGGTAAAAGGAGGGACCCTTAATAAGGACCCCTAGGTATATACCCTCTTAATATAGCGATTATATGCCCATCATATAGCCCATTATAGGGTAGGGGTCACTATTAAGGGTCCCTCCTTTCCCCCTTTGATAGTTGAGAAGAGCACGAGGCTTGAACAGTTGGAGCGGAGCTTCACCGACACCATCAGCAGCCACGTGGGGTTACGACCTCTGCGGGAGTTTAGGCTGTCTTGGGAATCCTTCAGTATAAACCCCGTGACCCTAAACCCTGAACCCTCAACCCTGAGGCTCTCTAGACTAGACCTGCTGCAGGAATAGAAAGAGGCCCTTGCAAAAAAACAAAAAAACTGAACCCCATGAGATTTGGGGATGGATTGCCCGAGATTCGGTTGAGCGATCTGGGCTTCGCATTGCAGGCTTCAGCGGTTTCGGGGTGGAAATGTACACAAAGCCACTATCGCCGTACATTTAGGTTGTTTGCTCCCCGGGCTAAGTGCAATTGATAGACATCAGGAATTAGGGCAGAGTTGCAACTGTCTTCCGTTTTGACGCTTCAGAAAGGATCTCACTGAAATCTTTGGGTTTAGGGTTGAGGGATGAAAGGCCTTTTCATTGTTTTAGAGGATCATGAGAATTGGTAGGTATAGTTACAAGTTCTTTGCATGGAGCTATACTACTGCAGACACGGGGTAGCTACTTGATCCTTCCAGCAACCCTACAGAACAGGACAAGATCCGTAAGCAATTGCAGTAAGGGAACCATCAAAGGAATCCCTATGACTATAGCCGTACTTACAAAGACTCCTGATCCTTTAGGGCTTTGGGTTTAGGGTTTCTGGTTTGGGGTTTTAGGGCTTCGGGAAACCATCTGACGCCCACAGCCTCAAAAGCCTCAACGCTCAACCCTAAGCCTTGTCCTTCTAACTTCAACCCTACAGCCTCTCTCCACCTTAAGCTCTGAGGCCCTGCCCAGAGAGCCCAATACCCCTTAATTAAGGAATATATCTTAAATCATAATATGAATTCCCTTATACTTTAAGGTATATTCCTTAATTAAGGGGTATTGGGCTCGTCTGGGTAGAGGCTTCAACCAAAGCCAAGGCCAAAGCTTCCAGCCTGCTGTCGATAATCCCAAGCCCTCACCCCTAGACCTGATTGTTAAAACCCTACATAGAATTCCCGATCCCCTAAACCCACATTAAGCCCTGCAAGCCCCAACCCTAAGGCCTTATGTTATGGTCTTTGGGCCCACAAGCCTTAAAACATGAGTCCTCTGAGTCTAAGGGTAAGCCTTCTACAAGATACTGTACCCCAAACCTCAACACCCTCTAAACCGCTTCCCGAGGCACAACAGTTCGGAGGTGATCAAGCTCTGCATCGACGAGATCGAGGTGAAAGTTCACCGCCGCGCAGGCGTCGAAAGTCCGTTTTGGAGGTGACCTCTAAGCCCGAAATAGCCCTAAACCGCCAAGTGCCAAACCCTAAACCCGTTTCGTTGGATTTGGAAGTGATGTTTTTTTCATTTAAAGGTTCAGGGCTTTGGGCTTCAATCAGGGCTGTGGGCTTCAATCTGTGGGGTGTAGAGGTCAGGGTCTAGATGTGTGCATATCATGCTCATGAAGCTTCCTGTTCTGTTACTTCAATGAGACACCTTTGACTTGGAACACTGTGGAACAAGTGGTGGACGTATATTCGAGGGTTAGGACACTTTCTCATCGTCATTTCATAATCTGTTGCTTTGTTCATGTTTCGGTTTCATATTCAGAAATCAGGGAGGCTACCCAATGGGTTTTCGAAGGATCAGCGACCGTTCGACGGCAGACTTCCGAAACCAGGCTCAGTGCTACACACGGTATAGACTTGGGCCCCAAACTATCTATTCTGGGAACCCCTTTCATGCCAAAGTATATGCCCTAAACCCAAAAACATTGCCGAAACTCTAAGCCTTAAACCCTATAAACCCTACACTTGCACCCCCCGAGTGTTAATCCTAAACCATTGGGGCCTGTCTTGTATCGCCAGGCACCGTCATTGAGACTCTTCGACTTTCCCTGTCCTCCTTGGGTCGAAACCTTAGCTCAGTTGTCCGGTTTAGGTGGGGTGTAGGGTTTAGGGTTTGGGTTCCGGATGTAGGGTTCAGGGTTTAGGGTGCAGGGTTTAGGGTCTCGGATCTGTAGACAGTTTGGGGAGCATGGACAGTTTTCGATGGTTTTGGGTTTAGGGAATTGGATAAAGCTTAGGGAATTGTATAAAGCTCTTTAGGGCTTTCGGGTCTACGAATTAGGCTTTTCTTAGCTACGTAAACATGTACCCCGGACATGTTTTCCAGAGGCATAATAGGTGTCAGGTTACAAGTCAAAGATTGAACAACTGAACATTAGGCCCAAGGAAAACAAGCTTGATTCCCTTGCTTGTTGCAGTTCGTTGCTAGAACACTTGTTTCTCTTGTGTTCTTCTGGTTAACAGCCTCAGCTCATCGATCGCTGTTCATACGTAACTGTGGCGCAGTGAGTTTAGATCCTCATCTCGAGCCACAGATTTCTATACTTGCAACTGCACCCCACTTGGGTGTCGAGTTTGGAATCGCCAGAGTAGGTCCTGCAAGTGACCTGCCATTGCACTGTTCAGCTCCCTCAGTGAGCATTCCATGTTCACAGCGTATCCCAACAATTGGATCCGATTTATCCAGGGTTTGCGCGAGAAGCAGCTTACCCACATCTTAATCAATCAACCGACTCGGCTTCTGAGAGCCTTGAGGACCTGGTTGTATCGACCAACCAGGTTGAAAGTGATTGAGTTGCTAATGCTACGGAGGTGGCTTGCTTTGAGATTGGCTGAAGGTGGCTTGCTCTGAGATTGGCTGACATGCCAGTTCCTTGTTGTCCATTCCGGGAGCCTAACCCAAGACCACCGCCGTAGATCGTACATGCCCGAGGCAGAAGGCTATCCCACGGTCTTCGAAGCATTGCACGATTGGATTGTTAAGTATTTGTGTGCTTGAAACGTTCTTTCCCGCTTATCTTCGAAATCGTAGGACTGGAAATGGGACAACCATCGGTTCTTGGAATCGCGTGTCCTTCTTACTGCACTCGCTACATCAGATTCACCCGCTTATTCAACTGTGCTACGCAGACGACAGGATTAACCTCGGTATATCTCGGTACGTCCTGTGATCAAGGGGCTGTCATGGGTTTTGTTCGAGATCCCTCCTGATAGTCAAGTGGCGGCTCCTGAAGGCAAAGCCTGGACCCTAACACCCGAAACCTGTTACCCCCCTAAACCCCTAAACCCTAAAACCGTAGAGCCCAGAACCCTAGAATCCTCAACCGTCACGCCCGAAATCCCTAAACCCTTACATCCGTAGCTTCTCATCCAAAAGATCGAAACCCTTGAATCACCAAAGAGCAAAGGCGTTCGCTTGCTGAAGCCCCCCGGAGCCGTATAAGTTCCAAAAGACCGTATTGCCGGAAGCCTTTTAAGGTTGCTTGCTTTAGGGTGGGTGCGCGGGTTTAGGGTTTAGGGCAAACCGCTGCAGCTTAAGAACAAGCCCTAAATCTTCCTTAAGGAGCTCGAAAGCCGTAAGGGTCCAAGTATCTAATAATCATATACCTCGAAAATACTAACCTACATAACTACTATCCCAACGCTGAGTCTAATTCACCCCTGAACCCCGTTCGTGAATTAACGCCTGTTCATCTAAGGTGGCGGCTTCCTGAAACCCAAGATGCTCCGGGAGATCCCAGATCCGGTCACCGGCTACCCTCTCCGCCCCACGGCAGTCAGGGGGATGTAGGAGCCTTAGGGTTTAGGGTTTAGGGGTTTAGGGTTTAGGGTTCATAATTATAACGATCATTTGTACCATTTTGGAGGTCCCTTGTTATAGTTATATTATAAAATGCCCTTAAACCCCTGTTCTAATCATTGAGGCCCCTGCATCAACTAAGTCCCAATGTGGTTTCATAGCGTTGTATGGGCTTTGTTAAGGTTTAACGTTTGGGGTTAAACGGTGGGAACTAGGTATAACCCAAACCCGAAGAACATGAGGACCCATTTGCAAACCATAAGCCATCAGCCCCATGCAATGCCAAACGCAGCTCACATGTAAACATAGACGAAATAAGCCCTAACCGAACCCCAAAAAGCTGAACCCTATTAACCCCCAATCTAACTCTAGCTGCGCACCGTCCCGGAACCTCAAATCCTGCAACCCCTAAAGCCCTAAACCCTAAAACCCAAGATGGCCCTAAACCCTAAATCCCGAACAAACCCTGAACCCTACATAAATTCCCCTAAACCCTAAACCCTAAACCCTAAACTAAATGCGAAGAGCTCCGAACCCGGAACCAAGGCTGGGAGGCGGCGAAGGAAGGCGCAGCCATCAGTGCGTCGGATCATCCGCACGCCGGGGGCTCGGTTTAGGGTTTAGGGTTTAGGGTTCAGGGTTTAGGGTTTAGGGTTCTCTTGAAAGGCTTGGAGGGTTTCGGGTTTCCTGTAAGGGCTCTCTTAAGGGTTCCTTTAAGTTTTAGGGTGGTGCCTATCAGCTGTAAGTTTTAACCCGGCCCTCGCCAAAAGACTGCCTTCACTGAACCAAAGTTCTTCATAGGGGTCCTACCATCAAAGGCTGAAACGGCCCTCGAAGAAAGCATGCACTGGTTTCCAAATCAGAGGTCGAACAATTGTATCTGTAGAAAGCTTTCAACACTTCAAAGCCTTGTAAAACCGTTTCTGAAGAAACTATACTGGTCGAGGATTCCAAAAAGCCGTTTAAAGAACGTCGTAGAAAGTAATACATGGATCAGGGTACGTAGTATGCAGGGTGTTATGGGTTCCTCTCAAGCTTCCTCCGATTCCTCCGAGGGCTTGAGTATTTGTGTGTGTGTGTTTTTTCAATTTTTGTTTGCGGTGGTCGGGGTACTTGGAGGACCAGGGAATCTAGTAAGTAGGTTCGTTGCTTGCGGTAATTAAACCTATAATTATTGTAGCGGCCCTATAAAGTCTTAGTTTGGGTTTGTGTTATTAGGGTGTGTGTAAAGAGCCCCTGTGTGGAAACCCATGTCTTGCCGGGCCTTTATACTTTCGGAAGCAGGGATATACTTTCGGAAGCAGGGATATACTGTAAGAACATACAATAGCCTCTTAAGAATCTTTTTCATGCTCGTCATATATCTTGGGAAGCACGGAAGCAGTTAGATGAATGGCGGGTATACGCCATTGCAGCCATGGCTGGAGTACGTACCTGAGAGATCCTGAGAGAAGCGTTGCGTACAGCCGCCCATGGACACAAAAGTAGCCTACAGAATTCTGCAACCGTAAGACCCCCAAAATCAAAAAGTTTTTGTAAAACAAACCCTGTACTTGCTTACAACCAACAACCTCCGGCACCAAAGAAGTCCCTCTAGACAACACCGAATCGACAGACACAGAAACCTTTAAATCCCTCAACCCCAAACCGTAAAATCCTAAAATCCCTTATATAAACCCTTGCACTAAACTCCTGAACCCCAAACCTTAAACTCTAAATCGTTGAAGTAAACTCCTAAACACCCTCACCCGGAACCCTATATCCAGCCTAAGCTTCCCTTCCAGAAACTCTCACGTTTACCGAGCCTCCCTAAGCCTCCCTGCCTACCCCCCCCCCCCCCCCCTTGGACCTCCCCCCCTTAAGAACATGAGAATAAACCATAAAGCCTAAAACACGTGTGAACCCGAAAGCAAGAAACGAGCGCCCCGAGGTCGCAGACCAGGCCGAGCTCAGCCGCTACCAGGCCAAGCGTGCGCGAGCCCCGATCGCTTGGAGTTCGCCGGCTTTGGGGTTTAGGGTTGAGGGTTTAGGGTTCAGGGGCTTAGGGATTAGGGGTTAAGAGGGTTTAGGGTTTTGGGGTTTACAGTTTGGGGTTTAGGGTTTACGGTTGTGCGTGTGTGTGTGTGTGTGTGTGTGCGTGTGTGTGTGTGTGTGTGTGTGAGAGTGTGTGTGTGAGTGTGAGTATGTCTTGTATGTGCGTTTGTTGTTGGGTTCAGTTCATGTTATGGTGAGTTTGTGTTTTTGTTTTGGGATGGGCTTTCTGGTCTACTAGACCATCTTGTTTTCCACGAGATGAATTGAGCTGTCCGGGTTTGTTGTTTCTGGTGTCCAGCTTTTTGTTATTGAGTTCTAGATTCTAGATATTGGGGTGTTTGAGGTTTGGGTTGAGCGCATTGTGGTTTTTCGAGCCAATATAGGGGCCTTGCCGCGCCTCTTTGACAATGGACCACACCAAACCCTACGGTTGATGATACAAATCCTGCATCACCCATAATAAGGAATATACCATAATTCCCATAGTTTAGGGTCCTTAAGGTAATGCAGGATTTATATCATCAACAGTATCTATAGGGCTTACAGGCTTTACATGCTCTCGCGTAGGGTTAGGGATTGAAGGCTGTACCAAAGGAAGGACCACTGAGACTACGCGTTGTCACAACGACATTGCTTGGAAGAATGCCAATCTTTTTTGAGGGACGCAAAGAGCTTCATCAGTATCGGGGGTGCAAGGGCATTTATTCAGGGAAGCAGGGTTCAATATAGGGTTCATTCGGAGTCATAGCATTTTCAGTTTGTCCGTAATGTTGACACTCGCCCATCAGAGACTTGAAAGAAAGCAAGGCGTCACTGCTGAGGAGTTGTTGACAGAGTGGAAGGCGTCACTTCTGAGGAGATTTTTGAGCAGAGTTAAAGAGCCTCGGAGGGCTTTCCTGGATTTTTAAGGGATTAGGTGTTGGGATTTCCTGAACGGAGCTCATTCTGTATGCACCCCACTAAATCAGATCCGGCTAGAAGCCCCCAAAACCATGGTTGCAGAGAGGTTGCTGCACGCCGTGCTGGCTCCACCTACGCCTTTGACCTGCTCGGAACTTGGCTGGGTAGTCTGCAGGGCATTCGAGGATTTCTGGTGCTTCTCGACAGGACCTTACCAGTGTGGACATCAACCAAAAACTCTAAACCCCAAACCCTAGACCCCTGAATCCTCAAACCCTAAACCCCTAAACTGAGATTCCAAGGCGATGCAACTGGGGTTTGAGGTTTGGGTTCCTACTTAGAGGCTCGACTTACTCTATGAGATCCTAAACAAATGCACTTGGGTTCCTTTACAACTGATCATTCAAAGACTTGAAAATCAGGGTCTGAAGTTTGAGTAAAGATGATGCTTTTTGTTTCCTCCCGGACATGCATTTATTCCAATATCCGCAGTCTTACCACGTACTCAGGCTTTTTCACAAACTCTCGCGGAAGGTTACGATGCCCAAAATGTAGGAGCTTCAGCAAATGATGAATTTGGGGTTTTGGGCCGTCAGAGCAAAAGACTGCGCTGTTCGGGGGCCCGGGATTTATAGGGGTTTAAGAGTTTAGGGCTCTAGGGTTTGTGCAAGGTTTCTTGAGTCTTTAGGGTTTCTACTAGGTTATTAGTGTAGTGAAGTTTGGGAGTATGGTTTTGGCGTTCGCCCTCGCGGTAGCGATCTGGTGTATCGACCTCACTGCAAAAGCTGCTTTTCAAAGAGCCGGAACCCTGAACCCTAAACTCCGAAACCCAACCCTCAAGAGGCCCGGCATGCTTCAGCTGGCCTTGACGATGAAGTGGATCGCCGCCACAAACAGCAGCGGGTGCGACTCCCAAGTCGTTTGCACAGCTTTCCCATGTACAGTTTTCCTTCACCCTGAGCCCCAAGGGTCGAATTTCCCTAGGACCCAGAGTAGGCCCTTATTCTCTTTTTTAGGGTTTAGGTTCTCTTATAACCCTCCTTAACCCAAAAAGGGCACCCTTTTTATTCCTATGTTACTCTTAGGCTTAGTACCTAATGACTTAGTGATCATATACTTTAGAGGCTGCCCCCACCCTGTAATAGTGACTATAAGGATTACATTAGGGCCCTATTATATTCCTATTATACCACTATTACAGGGTGGGGGCCCCTTCTAACATATACTCTCCCAAATAGGAACCTAGATAACTTTGTAGCTTTGGAGTTTATGGTCTAGGGTTCGGGAGTTTGCAGGCGTCAGCCCGACACCTTGAATTGAAGACTTCCCATCAGAGGGTCCCAGACTCGAAAATCCTTCCCGTAACCCTAGCTCTCCCCCAAACCCGAAAGCCCGAAACCTCAAGCACTTACCTTGGGTTAGTAGGGAATGGAGGAATAGGGTACAATTATCGCTACTATTTCTACCCTTCTTCCATTCCCCACTAACCAACGGTAAGAGCAGTACAGTACCTTGCGAGACTTCCTGGTTACCCTGTCGTAAAGCCGTAAGACCATTCAATACAGAGGAGAGCTTGTGAGGGCATGGTAGTCTAGCTATAGTGGCAAACCACACGGGAACGGCGTGTGGTGACGTAAATTGCATGTCATGTTTTTCTGTTATCATTGGAAGTATCTTCGTTTCATTTCCCAACTGGCATGTGTTTGCTTCCTACTATATATAGTCTATAGCTATGCAGACCGTTTGGTGCAGACGAAAATGCAGACCCCGATAAGTAGATCTCGCCGTTCCGCAGTGCTCGCCGGTCCTCCTCGCCAGATGCGCGCAACGAAGGACCTGTCAAGGTGTGTTCACATCCGTACAGGAGGTATGGATTTCAGGGTGCACTAGGGTGTTAAGGTCGAGGGTTTATACAGGGTTGAGGGTTTTGTATCTTGGAGTTTTGGTTTTGAAGTTTAGGATTCAGCCTCACAGCTGAGAGTCTGAGAGGTCTGGGGCTGAAACAGTAAGAGTTGGCGTTTGTGCTGGGTTTCGAATCCCAAAACCAATCCCCAACTCCGCTTTGGGTTTCACGCGTGCCAAAGCTGGCCTAGATCCGAAAATGCACTTGCCTAGGATGCCCCTTATTCCCGTTTTTGCAGTCCTAGGTTCCTTTTAAGGTTACCCAATACCAAAAAGGGAGCCCTTTTGATTCCTAGGTTACTGGGCATCCTAGTGCTCTTCCATCGCAAACGACCCATGGATGGTTTTTGGGCTGTTTTATCCGGGCATCGCAGTAGCATAACTAAACTCCGGACAGCGGAGCTTGGAAGCTAAACCCTAAAACCTGAAACCTGAAGCCAAAAATGCCCGAACCCTAAACCCTGTAATCCCCATGACCATGAAACCCCCAAACCTTAAACCCCTAATCGCAACGATCCTCATTGCCCCTGCCACTCCCAAAAGCAGAGCTTGAAAGCGAAACCCTAAATTCTCACCACCCTCATTACCATAAGCCCTGAACCCTAGTCAAGCCCATACCCCAAGTTTAAAACCCCTACCCCCATCCGGCGAACCCCTTCCCCCAATCCTAAACCCTAAAACCCTAAACTCGAAAACCCCTATCCCCATCCTAGGGGTCTTAAGAACGCCAAGCCCCAATCCCTAGACCCTCAAACCCGAACCCCAACCCTTAGGCTCTAAGGACTCATATCTTAAGGCTTTTGGGCTCAAAGACCATACTATATGAGGGGCTTTTGGGCTACTTTGAGCTTTAGGGCTGATTTGGGCATATAAAACCCAAGGGAATATTAAAACTAAACCCTAAACCCTAAACCCTAAACCCTAGGGGGTGGTATCTTTATGATGGCTCTGCAGGCTTTGGGTGTATTTGCCAGCGCCTCGCAGGACGTGGCGCCCGAAGGAGGAGTCCCTCCCCTCGCTCAGGGCCGGATCCTTGGAGGGACGGGCTGGAAATAGTAGAATCATACTCAATATGTCTGTGTGTGTGTGTACGCACATGTACATATGTAGATGGCGCAGGTGTATGTGTATGTATGTCTTTATATGTGTCTATATATATATATATATATATATGAATTCAAGCATGCATGCATGCATGCATGCATGCATGTATGTCTGGTTGTTTGTTTGTGTACACACATACAGAACATACACGCATGTACACATATTTACATGCACGCACGCAATCATGCATGCATGCATATATATATATATATATGTACATATGTGATCATGTTCGTACTTACATGCATATAATGTATAGAGCTACTGGTCTGTGTTTCAATTGACCTCCGGATTCAATGGTTGTCATTTTGCTTTCTGGGGCGGCTGAGGCTTTAGCAGTTGCCATTATGAGTATCATGACGACTATGGAACTTAGTGTGATTTCTTCTTATGTGCTTTCTTATTGCTGGTGTTGTTGTTTTTTGGAAGGGGTTTTTCTGAACTTTGTAACTTAGTGTTATTCCTTCTTATTTGCTTTCTTATTCCTGGTTTTGTTGTTTTCTTTTAAGGGAGATTTTTTTGAAAGAAGGTTAGCAGACCCAGAGCCGGACCCATCCCCCCAGCTGCGAAATGCACCTTTCAAGATAGATAAATAGACAGATAGACAGATAGATATTAGGTACGGCCCCCGTACAGTAAGAGTCTATAATAGGGCTACTATCAAGGTCCTACTATATCTAGTCTAGATTATGAATATTATTTATCTATTACTGAGGGGGGGGGCGTACCTAAGATAGATGGATAGATAGGTTGACTGATTGTAGGTAGATGGATAGATACAGTCTTTAGGATTTTCGGTCATGGCCTTTACAGGTGTCTTTGAGGGTTCCTTATCCCAAAGGGTCCAAGTATCATTCTGGTATATACCTAGACTGCCAAAATACCCTATAAGTATATACCATAATGATACTTGGACCCTTTGGGTATTGGGGGTCTGGGGTTTGGTGCTTCGGGGCTCTATTGTCCACCGCGAGCGAACGAAACGATAGGGTCCCGGTCGGTAGTCTTCAGTATCATACCGCTTCCCAGAGACTCCTTTTGAATATTCTTTGAAATACAGCAGGAATCCTAATATGATTTAAGGCATATCCTTAACTAAGGGATATTGGAGTCTCTGGGTTAGAGAATATTGGATAGGAGCTTCGAGAAGTGATTTAATTTTTAAGGTGTAGGTTTGGGGAGGGGGTGGAGGATCTGAAGAAAGTGTTAAACCCTACGCCTGAGGCGCGGTGCGCCGACCGTGCCATCTAAGGCGATCTGGGGAAAGGGGGGACGGTCCCAGTCATTCCAACACTGCTTTATCGCTGATTTTGATTTTTATTAGGTAGATTGCTTCGTCAAGGGGTGACGGATGTTTTGGGGATTAGATGGGTTTAGGGTTAGGCTTGCAATGTATTTACAAGCCCGGAGAATTTGTGAAGTTTATCCTTAGCTTTCCTTGCTCGAACTGTTTCGAATTAATAAGGGCCCCAGCCCGGGCATCTGAAACACTCTCAGCCCTAAACGCCCCAAACCACAACCTTATACCCGAAACGGCCGTTTCAGATATGCTTTCCTGCGAGCCCTTCGTTTGTGGCATAATCTGGTGGTGCGCTCCTCACGGTCTCATGGGTTTCAGGCAGGGCTGACGGTGCGCTAGGGTAAAGGGTTTAGACTGCCCTTATACACCGAGCGGCATGCTCTCTTGCAGGCCTCAAGAGGCACAGAGCTAAAACCCCAATTCAATCCTATCCTGAACCCTAAAGCCCGAAACCCCAAACCCCTGAACCCTAAACCCTAAAAACCCTAAACCCTAAACCCTAAACCCCAAACCCTAACCCCTAAACCCCCAACCCCTAGACATCCCTAAACCCCTAAGCCTAAACCCCTGTAAACCCTAAGCACCCGTAGGGCCTTCAATGCCAGGTGCCTGACACCATGCCCAAGGACATCCTCACTGCTGTAGAGCTGGTACGCATCCCCATTTTTCCATGGGACGGTTTAAAGGGTTTCGGGGGTTCGGTTTTAGGGTGTTGGGGGTTTAGGTGTTTAGGTTTCAGGTTTTGGGGCGTTGTGCAAGGGTCCTGTAGGGATTCCATGAAGAACCCTAGACCCTAAACCCCTAAACCCCTAACCCTCAACCCCTAAACCCCTAAACCCCTAAACCCTAAACCAAACCCCTAAACCCCTAAACCCCTAAACCCCCAAACCCTAAACCAAACCCCTAAACCCTAAACAACTAAACCCCTAACCCCTAAACCCCTAAACCCTAAACCAAAACCCTAAACCCTTAAGCCCCTAAACCCCTAAACCCTAAACCAAACCCCTAAACCCTACACCCGCAAACCCTAAACCCTAACCCCTGATAAGTGGTCCTTTGATTGAAGGCCCCAGGTTCTATAGGGGTTCCATGGTTTCCGCGTTTTGGGCTGTAGGGTTCAAGGTTTTGCATGTACGGCATATATGACTTCGGTCATGTCGTTTGGCGTCGTTAGGGTGAGGGGTTTAGTTTAGGATTTTGGGATTCAGGTTTTCGGGTTGTGGGCTGTAGGATTAAGGGTTCCCGGGCTGAGTGCACCTTAACCTGATGCCAGGAATCACAGTTTCGTGCCGGTTGTAACGAGACCCGAAATGTGCAACCCGAGACAGATTTGAATAAAGCAAGTTTTCATGTTTATGGTCCGACATGTAGAGTCATCATTACTAACATGAGAACCCCATTATCTAGTCCCTATTCTGGGAGAGTGTTTTATTTCTCAGAGGTCTACATCTGGCTTCGGGGATTACAGGTGGTTATTTGTCGAGGAGTTCTGGAATGACAGCGCAGCATTCAATAGGACTAAAATTTCATGTATGAGAGATTCTTCGGGCTGCCTAGATTCACGCCACTTTTCGAAGCTCCCGAAAGACTTGGGGACACAGAGCTGCCTCGCAGCAGGCTGCACCCGAAACTTCCGAAGCTGCTCCCTGCAGCGTTCATTACAACCAGGGACTTCTTACAACGCCCTGATTCAGAAACTACAGAAACTCCAACTCGACAAACTGCACCGAAAGGTCACTAGACCCTAAACCCTATACTCCCTAAGCCCTGAACCCTAAACCCCATAAGCCCTAACCCAAAGGTCATGGATTGGTCCAAGATGGAGCTGGTTGAAACCACTCGTGCCGAAGGCCCGATTCCAGGTGACGGGTTACCTTAAACCCTAGGCCCCAAATAACCTAGCTTTGCAAGGACTTATACCAGGAAATCATAACAGGGAACCCTAAAAAGGCAGGTGTTATGGGGGCCCTGATCCCAGGTGGGGGTTTAGGGATGAGGGCCTCAGCCAAGTTTGCAGCAGCCGGCAGGCAAACGGAGGTCGTAATGGCTTTTCTACAAAATCCTGTTTTGTTAGATAGCGAAAACCACGAAAGACGACGAACTGGAGCCTTACAGTCAAGTCCAGAGGTTTTGAACAGCACCCATGTAAGAGCTTTTACAGCGCTTAGAAACCTACAAAGTCCCGAAACAAAGCTCAACGGTACCATGGCAATTGCAGCAGCATCTCTTACCTGTTCGTCGTGTTGTTTGCGTGTTGTCGCTGCTTCTGCTGCTGTCGTTGTTGTTGTTGTTGTTGCTGCCGCTGGCTTTTGCAGAGGGCTTCCTCACAGAGCTCCCAGGGTTTAGGGGTGCAGGGCTGAGGGCATAGAGTGGTGGGTGGAAGGTTGAGGTTTATGGATTTGTAACTCAGCCCAATTCTCAAGCTAAATCCGGAACCTTAAACGCCGCCAAATTCATCTCCACCGTAGAATTCGGGCCCGAAGAGGCCACATGGTGCCATGAGGGCTTGGTACTTGGATCCTTTTCTGCCTTTTGGAGATATGGCCCGAACATGTGTTCACGGATTCTCACGGATTTAAGGTGCAAGGTCTCACGGCAAACCCTACCCCCTAAGGTACGCCCTAATATCAGGAGCGAACGACCTGGGCATGCTTGCATGGAAGCTGACGATGAAGACCCCGGAGTATCCGGAAGGCTCCGTGTCTCTGACATGGCTTCGATGTGGTTTTGGTAGCACTTTACACTTTTGTGGATACTAAAATACACACAATAACAGAGCATGTACACGTTTTGAGGCTTATGACACGTATATGTGTGTATGTGTGTCTATGTATGCATGCATGCATGCATGGATGCATGGAAGCATGGATGCATATATGGATGGATAGATGGATAGATGGATGGACGGAGGGATGGATGGATGGATGCATGCACGTGCGTCTATATGTTTGCTGTATTATCTGAATATACACATACATAAATGTACATATATATATATATATATATATGTAGCTATTTATCTTTATGTATATCGATACCTGTACAGTAGGCCTTAGCACTCTCTATTTCTGTCTATATCTGTTCTGTTTCAATTTATGTTGATGTGCGCATATAAAGACAGACAAGCAGACCGACAGACAGATAGATTTATACGCACATCTGTGCCTGTATCAGCACTTGTATCTCTAGCTGTATCTCTAGTCGTATCTGTCTATCTATTTAATCCACATCTAAATCTGGATCTCAACCTGGTAAGGGTTTGGGTTCCGGCCTACGCAACCCTCTAAAGCCCCGACAAGTCCAATCTTCTGAACCCCCCACCTCCACCCCATTCCCCGAGTCCCCGCAACATGAGCAGGCCGTGTGGTCATCCTCATCGCCAACGATGTGACCTTCCAGGTCTGCTGGTTCAGATGTGGGGGGTTTCCGGAAACAGGGGTACCTTATGTTGGGGTCCTTATAATGAGGATCCTACTATTTAGGGCCTAGGGTCCACTATTTTCGGAAACTCCCATGGAAGGGTTCAAGGTTTAGCCGTGCGGTTCGTCCTTCATTATGTTTGCTGCTAGTCGCCCTCTGTCTGTCTGCCTCTCTGCAACACATAGTTACATATATATTTATACATATATATATATATGTATGTATGTATGTATGTATGTATGTATGTATGTGTGCACATACATACATACAGAGATGTACTCATAGTTCTGCACAATTACGCTAGCCCAACTGAGAACTGTCCATGAGAAATGAACACCACTTGTTTCACCGAAAAGCGAAAGCCGTAACAGTACCAACCAGATTTCGTGTTTAGGGCGTTAGGGCAAGTGGCACAGGCATTCCTACCCGCCCTCGCTATGCAAGGAGTAGCGTTCAAGATTCAGGGTGCTAAGAAGCAATATGCGAGTCTGCAGAGCTGGACGAACTAGAAATACTATCCTTCTGGTCCAGTCCTTATCTAAGTATGGCCTGCTACACTCCCAAACGGGCCCCAGTATTTGCCAAACTCTCGAACACGCTGAACGCGTCGAAGGGTCGCGTTGAACCAGTAATGGCACCAGAAACCGTAAACTGAAGTTCTTGCCGGACCTGATCCTCGCCTGTCAACAACAACTAACATAGGACCCTAAAAAATATCCGATACTATTTCAGTGGTTCCTTCTTGATTTATAGTATAATGGACCCTCAAACCCTGTTCTAATTATTCAGGCCCCTATATCTAGCCATCTTTCACTCCTTGTAACACTCCCACAAAGCAGAGCTCAGGAGCTTTTCGAACAACATGAACATGGAGAGTCACAATTTCATGAAATCAAAGGGGAAAAGGAGGGACCCTTAATGGGGACCCTACCCTACAATGGGCTACAAAATGGGTAGATAATGGCTATATTAATAAGGGTATATACCTAGGGGTCCTTATTAAGGGTCCCTCTTTTTAGTTTTGGATGAAACGCATAGCAACCTACTCAGTAAGACCAAGCGAAGCACATCGCAACCTACAGTATCCCTAATCGTTTACCTAGACCCCGAACATAATCCCTAAACCTCCGCAAACCACTAAACCTTCAAACGCTGAAAAAACTTTCAGAAGCTCTAAAAAAACCTAAACCTCTGAAACTCCTTCTGAACCCTTCCAAAAAAGCCTGAAAAACCCTAAGCCCTGACCAGGCTGGTTCCTTTGGCGTGCGAGAAGACCAGTTCTTCCAGAAGGCCTGGGTGTTTTTTTTTTTTGTGTAGGGTTTTGGGTTTATTTGGAGTTTAGGGTTCGATTATTGGGTATAAGGGGTCTATAAGGGTGCAGGGTTCTATAGGATTTGGGGTATCAGGGTTCCTGTACCATATTGTATACTTGGGCCTTACAGTACCTAGATACGGACTACGTTGAATGCCAATGTATGTACGATCATGGAATCTTAGGGTTTCGAGCCAGGATTTCAGGGGTTAGGGCTTTGGGTTTAGAGCTTGGGTCTTAGGGGTTGAGGGGTTTTGAGTTTAGGGCCGGGCTAAGGGTTAGGGCTTTGGCCAGGGTTTCTGGCTTTAGAGTTTAGGGCTAGGTTTTTAGGGGTTCAGGGGTTCGCGGTTTAGGGCTTTGGGCTGTTAGGGTTTAGATGTCGTTGTATATAGGGTTTAGGACTTCTAGATTTGAGAGTTTCGGGTTTAGGGTTTAGCCTGAACCCTGAACCCTTAACTGAGATCCACACTTCTGTTCCTTGCTCACAGACAACTGTGCGCAGATTTCATGTCTGGACTGGTCTCGGTTGTGCCGTAGTCGCACCGTGAAGGTGAAGCTCGGCGAAATGGACTGGCCTCAGCTTGCTCAGCCAAGAGATGCTTTGCTCATCGGCCTTGGACGCGATGTCGCGGAGCAGGTGCACGGCGAGTTCTGCTGTGCTCGAGACATATATTATGTGGACACGCATCATTGCCGTTATCCAACGGCAGCCACGTCACGGCCGAACACCCTCAAGCTTCGTTGCACAATGCATTCCTCTGACCTGCCCGTGCTCTAGCGACATCCAAGGCCAAGCACAAAGCCTTGAGATTGGCATTAACCCTAAACCCTAAACCCCTAAACCCTAAACCCCTAAACCCTAAACCCCTAAACCCTAAACCCCTAAACCCTAAACCCTAAACCCCTAAACCCTAAACCCTAAACCCCTAAACCCTAAACCCCTAAACCCTAAACCCCTAAACCCTAAACCCTAAATCGGAACAGCTAGCAGCTAAAGAGGATCCGAAGGCCCTGCTGACGTTTAGAGGATTTGGCATCTAGGATATGGGTGGTTGTCAAAATTAGGGTCCCTTTTAAGGGCCCTATTTAGTACGGCACCTAATATTTAGGGTACCCCAAAAGCGGCCATAATTTTGACAACTACCCATATGATTTAGGCCGGTATACTATGAAAGCTTGGATAATTACCAACATGCTTCCTCAGGGTTGCTTAAAAATAGAAGGCATTAACACTCTACAGAGTGCCTGTTTCAGAGTATGATTGTGACAGGGGTAGACATCTAGGGACGTCATGCAGGCCAGCTTTTTGCATGCAGTAGAGGGTTGGGTGGCGAGGTTTGGGGTTACAGGTCAAAGTTCAGGGAGTGAGGGTATAGGTTTAGGGGTAGGATTTGGGATTGGGATGTAGCGGAGATTGAGGTTTGCGGATTCGAGCCATTGGATTTGGAGCTGTAGTGTTTGCGGTTGTGGGGAGGAGGACTGTGGTTTGGAGTTTCTGACCAAAGACCCAGAAACCGCAACATTAAGCTGCATAGAATCCTTCAACCTAAAGCCCCCTTTCTCCCTAAACCTCACGAGCCCTCAAGCCTACAACTCCGACCCGAGACCAAGCAGCTTGATATTCAAAAACCCCCAACCCCTCCCATTTTCAACTTCTATAAAGCTTATAGACTTTGATATTCTACAAGCCCTATAAACCTCATAATCCCTATAAGCCCTATAATAAACCCTGACCCTAAAAGCCCTCGGCCCCCCAAACCCACAAAAACGTCATGGAAAGACTAAACCTCAGGGCTTATAACTATAATCCCTAAACCCACAATCCCCGTAGTACCTCTAAGCTCAATACATCCTAGTTCCTAGCAGCCTGAATCCCTGAAACCCCATGGGAACCCCACAACCCCTGTAATCCTTTGAGGCTCTATAAATCCTGAATTCCGAAAACTCCCATGGGAAACCCTACCTTGATGAACTCTATAAATCCCGAAAGCCTGAACCCGTAAACTGCATGGGAACCCCAAAAATCCCCTTGAGCTCCATATGAGAGTTTCGTCATCTTGGGGTCCTTACAATATGGATCCTGCTCTTTAGGTTACTGTAGCAGGGTCCCCGACTATTGCCGGAAGCCGCGATATATCCCAAAAGCCCTAAGCCTTAAAACCCTATATAGGAACTCTACAACCCTAAACCCTAAAACCCTAAACCCCCAATCCCCAAACTAAATCCTAAACCCTAAAACCCAACGAGACTCAACGCGCAGGCCTCCGAACTGGCGCGGAAACTGGGGCTTCCTCGCGTCTACGTCTCCTGCAACAGCGGCCGGGGGGCCCTTTAGGGATTAGGGATTTGGGACTTGGGGTATAGGGTTTATGGTTTAGGATTTTGGGTTTAGGGTTTTGGGTTTAGGGTTTGGGGTTTAGGGTTTGGGGTTTAGGGGTTGGGGTTTTAGGGTTGTAGGGTTTAGGGTACTTACCTTTGGTTAGTAGGGAATGGAGGAATGGTAGGAATAGTAGTTCTGATGGTACCCCATTCCTCCATTCCCTACTCAAATCTTATCGAGTTCGCTATTTAGAACATGGAATAATACCCACCCACCCAGAGAATCCCAAAACATTAAGAAACAAAAAGTTTTGTCACTACCCACAGCTTAGTACAACACAGTCAACTTTGCAAACATGTTTATGTGGTTATAGTTTCAACTACTAATTAATTCTTAAACCTCAAAGCCAACCCAAGCTTTGTGGCCCGAGAGAAAAAATAACTAATGGCTCATAGGTTCTAAGACATGCGAATTGGATAAGTGCTGTATGTGATATGTAATCTAGTAATCTAGTTTTGTTATGTTGTTTTTCTTCGCCAAGCACGCAGATGGAGCTGATCCGCATTTTCTATAGTGGCAGACCGTCCTTTGAAACTCCTTGGATTCTGAAACTCGCTGACGAGGTGTCTTGCCGACATGGCTGCCAACATCGGCTGTGTTTGCCTGGCAGACTCCACCGGGCTTGGCGTTTTGTCGCCCGGTTCACGCAGTGGTATCGTCGAAACCGAAACCACGTTGGGCTGGAACTTCACGGCCGCCGTCAGCTACGGCGCCAGCTTGACGGCACCCTCGGGCGATGGCGCACCCTCGCTGATGCAACTGTTGGTGCAAGTGCAGCAAGAGGCCAAAGTGCTACTGTCGGGCCCTAGTTCTCTGCGGTTGCGCCCCGGCAAAGGACTCAGAGCCCCCGAAGCCTGGCGATTCCAAGGAGGAGAGCTTCAAGGAAGTTGTGGAGGGCCGGGCCCAATACCACATCAAAGAAACCACAGTCCAGAGGCCGGAGCCCCAAAACTTTCAAGAACCCGAAGCCCTAAGCCTTAAAGCTTGAAGCCCAAACCCTGCCCAAAACCCTAAAGCCCAATCCCGAGCCCCCAAACCCTAAAGCCGGCCCTGCCTGCCCTGCCCTCTGCCCTCTGCCCTCTGCCCTCTGCCCTCGCCTTTGATAGCTAGCTTCCTCCAATATACACCTCCCAGAGAACGCAATGAAGCTGTTCTGCTTTGCTCGTTTACGGTGGTTCATTCTCAGCGACGCATCTTCATGAAACAGGCCACACTGCGGTATCTTAATTGTCTTAACTATTCTGTGGGCATCTCTTAGATTCATCGCCGCCTATCGGTCGGCGTTTAGGGCTTGGGATTTATTTGGTGTTATGGGTTTAGTTTAGGACTTTAAAAGTTTTTGCTTAGGGTTTTGGAAGGGTTGAAGGTTCACGGCCGGGCTTCTCTGGGGTTCAGGGTTTGAACGAATCCCAACCCCCAATCCTTGAGTTAGAGTCCGCTCAGCCACGATTCCCCACACCTTAAGTCCAAAAAAAACACCTATAACTCCAAGCCCTGAAAGGCGGAAGTCCGGATGGCTAACACTGACGGACGAATGTCCGACCGAACCCTGAACTCTAAACCCTAGCAGCACTCCCCAAACTAACTTTTATTATACCCTAAATACCTACTACAAATACGGACCATAAGGACTCTATAAAAGGGTACTTGGGGGGGTGCTGGTAAACCCAAACCCAATGCCAACAAGTGCCTTCAGCTGAGGGGCTCGCGTGGGCCTCGTGGAGGAGCTGAAGCCGCTGTACAAGGCGAGAGGTCTGAGCTCAAAAAATTAAGGTTCGGGGTTCCGGGCTTTAAAGTCTACCTGATGCCTCCAATGTACACCCCGAAAAGTGGTAAACCCAAAAAAGCATACGCAGAAAAGAAGAGAATTAGGATCTAGGGTCTAGGCTTTAGGGTACGTACGTATCTGAAAGCCCGTAAAGGATCCTCAAAAAGTTTCTCTAAGTCTCTACGGATTGAACCTGGGTTCCAAATAGCCCAAAGTAGGTCGTGACTTTTGGCCCCAAAGTAGGTACTGTTTGCATACTTGGAGCCCTAGACCCGGACCCTAAGCTGTGGTGTTTTTTGTTTGTTAGGTTGGTTTCTTATTGTAGGAGTCATAACCATAAACTAGCGGATCCATTGAAGGTACTACGGTACTACATTCATCGTAGGGCCTAAATGGGGACGGGGACTTACAAACCGAAACCCTAAATGCCTTTCAAGACCGGATACGTTTTTTAAAGCTGCCACCCCGCACCCCTCACTCCCTTACTGAAGCCGTATATTATCAGGCCCTCGGAAGATTCGCTCTCTTGTTCCTAGCACCGCTCAGCTCTAGAAGCATCTTGGGACCCACAGTCTCTGGGCGAAAGCAAGATTGCAGCCCCTCTTCTTTTCCTTGGGCTTCATTGTAGGAGCCCTTGTCTAAAGACCATGGAGAGGGCCATCAAGCATTTAGGCCGGTAGTTTTGTGAAGAAGGCAGAGTACAGGTATTTGCGCCAGCAGCATAGGCAGCTTTGGCCGATAGTTTCGGGGTTGAGAGTGTAGAGTAAGGCCTATTTCGCACACCCGCAAGCAGAGGACTGATTGCTTTACATATTCATTCGAAGTAATATCGAGAATAGAGCCTGTGGAACATAGAATTGCAGAATAGGGCTTTGGGGGTGATACGCTACCGTCATCATACGGGGACGAGAAGGGGCAGCATTATTAGTCATTCTTCACCCTAAACCCTAAACCACAGGATGTAGTCAATGCGGACCCTTTAGAATTGATGACGGTCCCGGGATTGGCTTCATTTTCTGACACCCTGTCTATTGTCATGCCGAAGGCTTCAACAAGAACCTAATTCCTACGTCTAGGGTTCCGGGCCTAGGTCTGTAATGTGTTCTTACCCAGAGGCTCCATAGTAGTTCCTTTTTGGGGGTACCTTATAGGCTTCTAAATATGAACCCCAAAAAGGAACTACTTACCCCCAAAAAGGAACTACTATGGAGCCTCAGGGTAACCCCTAGAAAGGCATCCTAAACTAGACCGCGCTTCTTGTTGCCAGGTGCAGTGGCTTGACGCGAACGACTGCAGCAAAGGCGGCGGTTTTCGGCTCGGGGGCTTTTTAGGCTTGGGGTTCAGGCCTTCAAAACTACGGATGAACCCCGAAGACCTTGGTTTGTTAAACCAGGAAACTCCTTACTACCCAATCCTCAAACAGCGGAGACCTGGTGGATGTGCTTCAACAAAAAAGCTTCTTTACTAAGCCGTAAACCCGGAATTGACATTGCATGTACCTGACCAGTAAGCCACGGCCCTTGTCTCAACGCCCACACCGCTGAACCCTCATCATAAAGCCCAATCCCATAGAATCTTCGTTTCTACAGCATTAAATTCCTCTCAAAATCACTTCCCTAAACCCTAAATCCCTAAATCTTAAACCCCGAAACCCGAAACCTCGTGGCCGTGTTGACGGAACGTCCCACTGGCACTTTCGGCGCCGCCCGGGGGCAAGAGCGTCCAGGTCTTGAACCCAACGTGCGAGCGCATTTTCACAGACAAAGTTCGTTGGGTTCACCGGGTTCACCCCAAGGTGGCGACAAGAGCCATTGCAACAGCCAGGTTGGACGAAAGCGAGGAGCTTTTTGCCATCGCCTCGGTGTTGAACAGTCGGCGCACGCTCAAGCAAACACTATGCACATTTCGTGGCACCTTCGTCCCCACGCTGTGCTATGGACTTGAGGCCTTGACTCTTACCGACCAAAACTTGCATAAAGTAGATGCCTTGTATCATAAGTTCCTTCGTAGAATTCTTGGCATAAAGGCGACTTACTACTCAAGAATCAGTAACTGGGATTCTGAGCGGATTCTGGAACCAGGCCAATTGACCACAACTCCACTCCACAACGGTTCAACCCTACAAATCAAAGCGCTAGCCAGCATTGTTTGCTCCTCCCCAGAAGACCCTATGCATAGCATAGTCTTTTGTCACCCGCTGACAGATAGAATACAAGCCCAAGGAAGAAGTAAAGGTATCCAGTTACACCCTGGATCGAAGACACTATGCACAGGCATGTTCCCTCAATATGGGTAGGGGACCACACCGCTCGTAGATATGCCGCCAAGCAGCTGTATGGGCAAAACGAGCAGTATGTAATTATAGGGAAGCTCCTCAGCAACCTACAAGGCCCGGCGGAGCGCCAAAGTGCGCGTCGTACATGCGCGCATGGCGTTGAAAGAAAACCCTAAACTCCTAAACCCTAAACCCTAAATCGTGCAGTCCGTTGCGCTTTTATTTAAAAGAAATCGTGCAGGCTTCGACTACCTGTACCTGACCAAGGCCGACTACGAGAAGCTCCCTGCTGGAACTGTGGAGGCAAGGATCTCCCAAACAGCTGACCCTTAGGCGGGATCTACTAGGGTTCTTTTAAAGGGATCTATAGGGGTTTATAGGGGTTTAGAGTCTTGGGGTTGAGGGTTTAGGGGTTTAGAGTCTTGGCTCTAAGGACTCATATTTTAAGGCTTTTGGGCCCAAAGACCATACTATATGAGGCTTTTGGGCTACTTTGAGCCTTAGGGCTAGGGTTCAGGTCCGGGTTTAGGGTTAACGTTTAGGGGTTTGGGGGTTTTAGGGGTTTAGGGGTGGTAAGAGTGTTTAGCGTTTGGGGGTTTAGGTGCTTAGGGTTCAGGGCTTTAGGGGTTTAGGGTTTAGGGCATTGGGGGTTTAGAGTTTTAGGGCTTTAGGGGTTTAGGGGCTTAGGGTTTATAGGGTTTTAGGGGTTTAGAGTTTTGGGGGTTTAGGGTTTATTTTCGGGTTCGCGTTTGTTCGGTGTTGGCATTACGGTTCAAGTTCGTGTTGGACGGAATCATGATTGTACTACCCTTGGGCCGTAGTTCTGATAAGCCTTCAACAAATCCGCATGAAAGCCCCCTGCATGACCCCAGCCTTGCACCACCTAGAAAGCTTGGAAACCAAGCAACCCCTGCATTGGGTTACGGATCCTTAAGCCCTAATTAACAGGCCTTACCCAGAGGCTCCATATACGGTACCAGTATGGAATTAGGTCCCAAATGACCATCATATATCATGGCTTTGGGGACCTAATTCCATAATGGTACTATATTTGGAGCCTCTAGGTTATAGCACCCATAACATAGTTACCTACCATGAAGACAAAGAGACCTGCAAGCAGGATAAACAAATCGTATGAAGCGCTGCAAAGACTTTGCCAAAGCGCATAAATCTCTATAAACACCATAACCCCTAGCGACACCCAATAGTCCCCTATTCTAGAAGGTGTACAAAAGCTACCATGCAAACACCATACCTGCCATAACCCTATCGACACCCAAAAGTTCCCGATGCTAAGAAGGTGTACAAAAGCTACCATGGAATAGAAGTCACTGAGCTTCTAGCAACCCACCGCAGGCACACAAGGTCTCGCAGGGCGGGGAGGAGCGGTACGTGCTGGATGCTATCATTGGCGAGGGCCAGAAGAGCACGCAGCTACTGAGCTTCATTATGCGAATCGGGTTTAGAATTTCCTTCCAGGGTCTAGGCTTCGGGGTTTATAGGGTTGAGACTTTTTCAGCATGTCCGAGTTGTTTATAGGGGGTTGCTAAGGCTGTAGCATGCAGCTAAGCTTCTAAAGCACTCCCCCAGGCTCCATGTGCCTATGTAGTACCAAGAGGATCCAAGTGATTACCCAAATGGGTGGTTGTCAAAATTAGGGTCCCCTTTTGGGTCCTTATTATAGTACGGCACCAAATATTTAGGGTACCCAAAAAGGGACCCTAATTTTGACAACCACCCAAATAGTAGTTTTACGCCCTGCGGGTTTGGACCTTGAAACCTTACTAGTTGTCCATTTGGACCCTGTGGGTATGCACTTCGGCTGCAAAGTGCCCATACCGGAACCCTTTTTAAGGAGGCAAATAATACGTACACGGGAATCCATTCAAGGCCTAAGTATAGACTGCACTTAGGGACTAATCCCAGTGATATAGTGCCTTGGGATCAAGGAAAGCCGACGTTCGGGCTTTTCGGGGTTCAGGGTTTAGGGGGTTCAGGGTTTACAGTTTCGGGTTTGGGGTTTATGAGGGATGAAGGGTTTAGGATGTAAAATGATTTACGGCGTGGTCTCATAGGCTCGTCGCGTTTAGGTTTCTGGGTTTCAGACGCGAGCTCGTTTGAGTCAGGGGTCAACACAGATCTACGATAATCACAATACCGGGGTTGAACAAGTACTGTAGTGTCCCCTTATGGTTCAGCTTCTACATATTCATACAGTACTGTCACACCTTAAAACCCGCTGGCTAGTACGAATCTACATAGCTGCTAGTCTCAACCTGTGTGTCTATGTTGAGATGCATGTGGGTGGCTGCCAGACTACCCAGATCCCAAAGTCAAGCAAAGGTCTGACTTGTGGTCTTGGGCACCTGAGTTGGCGCCCATCACTGATGTTGCCATGCTCCCGCATTCTGTATTGGCTCGGCTTGCCGCCTCCTCTATATCTTGATCTTTTCGGTTCGCGCGATTTTGTGCACGCTTCGCAGGCATGCTCCGCATGCAGTTCCCTATAAGGGTCCATGTACTCATGTAGCATATAATTACTCGGGAACTATATATATAAAAACCATAAAAAGGAAACCGAAAAAGGTAGGTCTTTTCTGCTATACTATACTAGGACCCAGAGTACTTTCAAACCAACTTCTAGCCGAAGTATCCCAGAGCGCCCGAAAACCCGGCCTGAACCCTGAGCCCTGCTGCTGCGACTGGGCGCATCAATTTTCAACTTAGGGGCGGCATCGGCGTCGAGAACTTGCAGGGAAGCGGTCTCATCGCTGGCGAAACCAGCCGGGCATACCAGGAGAGCTGAGCGACTTGCTTACTGGCTGTAAACTCAACTTTTCAATGTTTGGGGCTCTTTTAAGGTAGTCGATTCTGAGAGTTTCAACTTTTATTTCCTTGGGTTTCCGGCCACCGAGGTTGAAACTCATAGGATTTTCATTGGGTTTGGTGATTGAATTTGACAATCGGGGATGTAGGGGGTTCAGGACTGAGGGTTTGGTTGATTTCGAGAGTGTGTGTGTTTTGCATTTCATGAGGCGAAGTGATTTACAGTCTCATGCTGCGCAGTGAGATGAACTCTCGACGGCGGGAGCCTCGCAGTAGGCAGTTGAATAAGACTTCCTGGTTTACCCCTCGCTCTCACACGCATACAGCAAGAGCTGTACTTCCACGAACCCCACAACTTACCCAAGGGTTCCCACTGAAATATTTCTTAGTAAGGGCCCTAACACCCTGTATCGCTAGTTTCAATAACCTTTGAAGCCCCAAGTGTCCAAAAAACCCTTTATTATAGAATAAGAGGATCCTTCCTCATCACGAGAGTTTGCGGGTTCATGGGTGCCAACCTGCCTCTGTGTGCAACAAATCGGTGCAGGTTTTTGTGCATCGGAGGCTTCAGCAACCTAAACCCTAAACCCTAAGCCCGAGACCCTAAATCCAAAACCCTAAACCCTAAACCGAACAGATCTTGTGCAGGAGACCTTTACTCTCTCATACATCACGGGGCGTTCCGTGGGTATCGGTGCCTACCTGCTCCTCGGCTGCCGTTTCAAACTCTTTGTTGTGGAACTGTGAAATGTAGGAGCCTGAATTACGGTTTAGGGTTTAGGGTGTAGGGCCTGATTAATGACTGGTGGTGTGTTTAGGCTTCCTTATTGCCACATGTAGTATATTACATGAAGTTGAACCCCAAAACCCCGCTATAAACAATTAAGGCCCCTGTCTTAAGTCATTGGCAGTATAGGTTTACGAGTCAGAGGTTTTAGGGCTTAGAGGGCCATGTGGGCTCAGGTTTACTCTGAAGGCAAACAAAGTGTCGAAATGAAGTACATGGTAGGTCTTGCGGAACAAGAGCCTTGAAGTATGGCGGGGCGTGTCCTGAGATAGGGAAAGTGAAGTAGAGGTATATATGTATATATATATATATATATACACATACATACATACATACATACACCTGTTTATAATACTATAAACATATATGTGTGTATGTATATATATATATATATATGTATAATATTACAAACATATGTGTGTGTATGTATGTATGTATGTATGTATGTATGTATGTATGTATGTATGTATGTATGTATGTATGTATGTATGTATGTATGTGTATATATATATATATATATACATATGTATATGTTGTGGGGGATGGGTGAGAGTGTATGAGGCTCCCTGGGAAGATTGGTGACCCTATAAACGCTAGATCCTCATCAGTCCTCAACCGACACGTGTGCTGTTGTATAGTCCCCGAGCCCTAAACCCCAAACCCAGATAGAAAGCCCCAAAGCACATCAAAAAACAAAACTCAACCCTTCACAGTGCTACCGCCGTTTCCCAGGAACCGTTTGGGCCAGCGGAACATTCAGATGGTCGGGAGCCTCAGTTTCGCTTTTCTTTCTCAAGGTTTTTCAGGGGTCCTTTAGGATTCTCTGAGGTTTTGGGGTCCTTGACTTTCTACTATTGGGTGGCTAAGCATGGCCAGGGAACCCACGACCTAAACCGACCACAAAGAACTGCTAAGAGATGAGGTCAGCAGTCCAATGATCCTTACGGGCTATGCGGCGCTGAACAAGCTCTTGGGCAAGAACGTCTACTCCTCTCAGGAGAGACGATGCATCAGGGTGCGGGTCAGGGCTTCCACGCGCTCTCCTCCCGACATCTCAAGCTCCTTAGCCCGGCAGCCCACTACCCCATTGCTACATGTTGTATGGTATTGAGACATCATTTAACATCCTTTAAACCTTGGTGCGACCTTCATTCAGAGTCTAATTCCCAGCTCAAGTCCGCCAATATCGTTAAGGTATAAATGGTGTAGACCTTATAGTTCAGGCCTAATTCCAGATCCAAGGCCGAAGCCACACTCGTGAAGGTGGTTTGAGTGCATGGGTGTCAGGGCCGAGCTTACAAGGGTGCCAGCACTTTCCGATTTAGGGCATACCTTAACCCTGAATAACCTACCTTTTTGGGGATCCTTATTATGATTTCCTTATATGAGGCCTTAAAAAGTCAGGTTATCCCGGGTTAAGGTCGTATTTAGGGTTTGGGGTTTAAGGGTTTGGGGCGTACCAGGTCTATACCGTTGTGACAGCCCAAAATCACACAACAACTACATAGAAGCCCAAAAGTTGGAAACCCCATGGCCTCAACCCTGAAGTGCAATGTATAGGGAATCCCAGCACTATTTGGCCTTAATCCGGTTTTCAACTTTCTAGGGTTTACTGGAAGGATTTCAGAGAGAACCCTCGACTGAACCTTTGCTGAGCCCGGATCCTAGAGCCTTCACCAGGTACTGTTCAGGGCAGCCCCAACCATTTAACGTAAACACTTACATCCCCGTCATCTCAGAATCTCCACACTATAAACCTTTAGATATCTTTATAACATATAAATCCTATAACCCTAATTCACATTTGACCCCGTAGTCCCTCAAACCCTCAACCGCAAAAAAAAACAATCCTTGAGCTCTAATTCCCTGGACCCCCAAACCCTAAACCCCAAACCATCAAAGCACCCTTAAATCCTAAACCCTAAACCCCTAAACCCTAAACCTTAAACCCCTAAACCCTAAACCCCTAAACCTTCAACGGAAACCCGAAAGCCCGGGCCTGGCGAGGACCAGCTGGGAGGACCCCAGATCATGGTCCCCAACGGTGTCACACATCAGGCCGGCGCAAACCGGAAGCCCTAGTAGTCGAGTAGGTAACCCAAAATAGTAGGATCCTTATTATAAGGACCCCAAAATGAGGTACCCCTAATTTTCGGAAACTCCCATATAGGGGCCGAGTAGTCGAGTAGGCAACCTTTAACCTGTTTTGGGGTAGTATACCCAGAGGCTCCATATATAGTACCATTATGGAATTAGGTCCCAAAAGACCATCCATATCATGGCTTTGGGGACCTACTATATTTGGAGCCTCTAGGATAGTCCCTATATAATCCCTATATAACCAAAAAGGTTAACCTTTAGTTCTCCATGATACCCGACAAGTAGGAAGCCTTTTGGCAAAGGGCTTCGGTCGAGTTTATAGGGTTCTGGGGTTCGGGATTAGGATTTAGGGTTGAGGGGTTTGGGTTTAGGTTTAGGGTTAGTCACTGATGGAACCCTAGTCACCTGCATTGTGCGGCATTGTTTTTCTATACCCTGCAGTTCAAGAGTACCCATGATCCATCTATCGGCCAGCAGCTTTTCGGAGTTTCATGACGTGATGGACCATCGAACTTTGAGAGTAGGTACAGGCGCGGAGACTGAAATCAGGCTGTCGATCCGCGTGATTAACGCCACTTGCACAGCATTCTGTGACTGTGATCCTGTCGGTGCGGGACGTCGCCCTTCCTTCTTGTTAAGGGGGTTAATGCAAGTTATCAGAAAAAGGAAACCTCATTAGTTACTATACTTCCCTATTATAATGGTAGCTTAAATTAGTTCCTTAACCTGTGACACGCTCGGCAGTGCGACCCAAAGCTGAACTACGCCGGAGGCTCACAGCGTAAGCCCTTTGCAGCCCTTCAGCGCACCAAATAGAGCCATGGTTTCGGTCGTAGCTGCAGCCCTTACCCTGGCTGGATGGGTGCCACATGTCGCCGCCCACCTAGAGTTTTCTGGGGTGACCTCTCCAGCGCTCCGTGGCCAGGTGGGTGGTTGTCAAAATTATGGTCCTTTTTTGGTTCCTTAATATAATACGGCACCTACTATTTAGGGTACCCAATTAGGAACCACAATTTTGACAACTACTCAGGTGACGGTAGTGGATGCTCCTAGTGTTCCTGTCTTCTTGGACAGTGCGATTTTCGAGCGCTTGGAGCACTTCAAGGATGTCGGTGTCCCTGCAACGTTATCGGACCACATCGGGCGTGCCACGATTGCAGACGGCACCTGCCGCTCCGTTGTCGCACCCGGATCTGGTCCTTTTCCTTTGGGTGGCTATGCTTCTAGGATGCCCAGTAGTACCATTATTCCCTTTTTGTAGTCCTAGGCTCCTTATAAAGTTACCCAATACCAAAAAGGGAGCCCTTGTTATTCCTAGGCTGCTGGGCATCTTAGGCCTTTTGGCACCACAACCCAGAACGAGTCGATATGGTCTTGAAGGCGCTCGTCGGACTTCCTTCCTCATCGCAACCCTCGAAGTTTGTGATCGCGGCCAAGAAGCAGTTGCCCAGCGCTTAGAAGTTTAACTTAAGCTACCATAGTTTAGGGTTCCCTTAAGGGTTCTGTGACTAATAGGGTTCCTTATTATGGTAACTTACATTAGAACCCAGGTTGCCCAGTGCTTGCTTCTATGGCAACCAGACCAACAAGCTCGACCTCTACCAGCCGGAGGCCTTGGCGAAGACGCTCTACAACTGGCACCGGGCCATCTGTGACCTTGAGTGGGAGGACCCGGCAGAACAGCCTCAGCAGCAGGCCAGGAGCCTAAGTAATTACAATGACTCTTTTGAGGGGGGACTCTTTATCATAAGTATAGTATGCTATGTACCGAATCCTTTTTCTAGTCATTAAGGCCCTCACTACTGGCTTCATCTGCATGGCCACCTGCGACACAGCGAAGCTGCAGCTCACAGCTGCAGCCATGGATGCCTTCTCAGCCAGCATGGCGGCAGCTAAGTCAGTGGCCAGGCGGAACACTTAAAGAGCCATGATGGGACTTGGTAAGTATGGTCATAAGTAGCCTTATCAATGCCATAAATAGTCATAAGCGTAGTAACCGTATGTATAACCCTCGTGGTTCTGTGTCAAGCAGTAGTCCCGACTCTTGTGGTTTCGCCCACTAGGCCGCTTATAACATGGTTACTCGCATCCTTCTCGTCCCATCTGAAGCCAGAATAGTAGGAACCGATGAAGCACCTCACCACAAACATTTTTTTGAGATCCCGACATCATGAGAGGGGAGTATCGGGGATCCCAGCCTCATTGTGTCGGATTGTTCCCTAAACTAAGGTAACAAAGAGCATGTGTGCTGCCATGCCATGGACCGCGAAGGGGCCCGTTACACCGCTGGACGGCCTTAAGTCCTATGACGAGATTGCAGTGGCAACTGAACCATGGCGCCAGGTGTGCGGTTGTACAGCATGATTTTGGTCTTAACCACTCTTTCATCCTGATGGGGATAGGAGAGGTCGTATTTTCGTGCTAGATCTGAAGCTTGTGAACTTCAGCAGACATGTGGCAGAAACACTTTAAGTGATGCTCACACTTGTGGCACATATTTAGCACCCAGCTCGTTTGCAAGATGGGGCTGTGACAGGAGATATCTTTCCAATCGTCCAGGCCCTGCAGCTGCGACAGCGTCGGGTTTGTGGTGTGCTTGGCACCATAGCCTGCACTGAAGCAGCAGCTGTAATTCGCAAGAACTCCGTGAGAGTGACAGCTGATGCAGACAGCAAGAGGAGGTGCCCACAGCCGATGTGAGTGAGTGTTTTGCAGCGAAGCCACACACCTCGTCACAACTAACAGTCTACCTGGTTTACACACTATCCCAAAACACAAAGCCACTCATCCGCGTCGTAATTTGAGTTGTTGCCGACCCAACCCAAAACCCCCGACGCCGGCACCAAATCCCTAAGTTCCGAAACCCTAAACCCCTAGCCCGTCTAAACCCCTAAACTCTCAACCCTAAATTAAACCAAACTCTCGGCGTAGTGATGGGAGTCTACGAGCAAATTAACTTCCGACGACGAGGGTTTCTTCAGGGTTTCGGGTCTAGTGTTCAGGGCTTGTGTAATCATCTCTTCATGTGGGTTCTAGTTGGATTCCAGCAACCATAGAGTATGATACCCCCCGCAACCAGCTCTTTTCTATAGTCTAGAGACAAAGGGCCTTATACCGCGGCTTTAAGGTTTGTCTTGTTTGGCTGCCAACAAACCCTAAACCCTATTTAATTATAAACCCGAATACAGGGGCCGAAGTAAATACCAAGCCTATATTGGCGGCTCCTTATCATAATTATAGTGTAGCGGGCCCCCAAACCTTATTCTAACTATGAAGGCCCCTATATTATAGTACCCTTATAGATTATAGATCCCTTATGGTCACCCTTGTAGACCCCTCCAAAGGAACCCTTTAAACGACCCCCCTATGTACATTAAGCCCGTCACAGGCTCCAAGGTCTCCAGGTCAAAGAATATGGCAGAAGCCCAAAAGTTGGAAACCCAATAGCCTCAATCCTTAAGAGTTTTGTATGGGGAGTCCCAGCACTATTTGACCTTAATCCGGTTTCCGACTTTATGGGGTTTAGTGTAGGCTCATCTCTGCGTGAGGAAACCCTTAGCCGCACACCTGAGTCGGGCGGTTTAGGGTTTAGGTTTCAGGGTTTAGGGTTGAGGGTTTCCCCAAAGGGTCCAAGTACCATTGCAGTAGGTATTTTGACCCCAACAGGATATACTATACCATTACTTGGACCCTTTTGTTTCGACCTTTGCTATGAAGGGATAACAATCAACACTTCAGGCTGTACTCGACTACAAATACTATAAGTTATCAACCTTCTTCAGCCACTGTGGAGGTAAAAATTAAGCCTGCTTTGCTGACAAACCCTAGTACCATACCCCCAACCCCCCCTATGTGCCCCAAACTCACTGAACCTAACCGCTACACCACTAAACCTTGAACCCTCCGAGCCATCATTCCAGGCGGCTAAAGGCTAAAGATGTGGAGTTCCTTACCCAGGTTTCAGCCATATAGGAGGCTCGCATGTTTTCTGAAATTCCCAGTGGAGTCTTAGCTTGTTGGGTAATATAGGGGGCCTTGATACTTGGAATAGGGTTTTGAAGTTCCTTGTTATAACTACAGGATAATTTACCCCCTAGGGCTCAAAATTTGTAATGGGTCTAGGGTTTAGGGATAGCTATAGTATAATATACACCCGCAAACCCTATTCCAATTATTACGGCCCCTACACTGTCCAGGTGGTGCGAGACGACCAGGAGGCCCTCGCACAGTGCTTGGGGTTTGAGAGTTCACCCCTTGCAGTTCTAGGGCTCAAGGTTTCGAGTCTAGGGTTTGGGGGTTTGGCTGTTGGTTCAGCTAGGGTTTTGAGGCTGCACAAAGCACATGCCCATGCCAATGTCTACCCCTACAGCTAGGGCAAGAAACAGAGGCGTTTTCCACTCAGGTACCCCGCGAAGGGTGGGGTCTGGGCCTGGGATTCGGGGTTTAGAGTTCTTGGCTTATGATTCAGGGTTTGGAGTTTACCTTAACCCCAAATAACCTACCTTTATAGGAACTTATCAAAGAAAGCATATTAGGGGGCCATAAAAACGTAGGTTCCTTAGGGTCCAGGTAGGGTTTGCAGCTCAGGGCTGATATGGCTTGGGCTTCAGGGTTAGAACTTAAGTGCACTTAATCATGCGGCCATTGTTGGTGTTGAAGTCTTGGCGGTTGAATAGCGTGTAAGAGTCTTGTGTTTGGGCTGATAGCATTTAGAATTGCAGGAAAAATCTCCAGAATCCTAAATTACTGAAGCGTGTTGTAGCGAAGGCATGGGTCGAGCTTAGTCGTGTGGCCATCCTCCCTTCCAACATGTTCCATAGATTCTCCAAGATGTTCGGGCTTTAGAGGTCCATCTCTGTGCTCAGACTAGAGCTAGGCTTTTAGAGTGGGTATATGACGTGATCGAGCTGCGCATCTTCTCATGACTTGCATCCGCACAGAAACCGATGCAGCCGAATTTGAGATGCAGATAAACCTTCAAACACCCAGATCGGTGAACCCTAGGCAGGGTCTTTGCTTCATAGGGACCCTTAGGGAGGTAATGGGGAGGGGGGTAGGGAACTAAATAGGCCTCATTAGGTCCTTATAGGCTCCCCACCCCCCCTGCCCCTACCCCCTAAGGGTCCCTATGATTGCTCTTAACCCTGAACCCAAACCGCTTCAGCGACCCCTGAACCCTGAACGACTCTACGGCTGAACACCCGACGCCAAGAGGGCATGGGCGCCATCCTCGATTGGCTCTCCTACGTGCCCAAGGCGGGAAGAAGTTGAGCTGGCATGATGACTTCCTTCATACGGTCGATGTTATAAATCCTGCATCACCCATAATCAGGAATATATGGGAATTATGGTATATTCCTTATTGTGGGTCATGCAGGATTTATATCATCAATATTACCACCAATCTGTTCAGGTTGTTGGGTCTCTTTTGCGCAAATGTGGCGTGATTCTGATAGCTGGTGGGAATCCGGGGAGAGTCTGGTACTTGGGGTTTGAATAATTACCTATACTACTTTGGGGATTCCTTCTTTTGAAAGTTATAGGAAAAAGGCCCCCGATATTAGGAACCCAGAGACTCCAATATCCCTTAGTTAAGGAATTTTCCTTAAATCACATTGGGGATTCTACTATGATTTTCAGGTATATTCCTTAGTAAAGGGATATCAGACTCCCCTAAACCCTATAGATCCCTTATAGATCCCTTGAAGGAACCCTAGGTATATTCCTTAATCAAGGGATATTGGAGTCTTTGGGAATGGGGGTCCTTGGCTTTCGGGTGTAAGTTCCAGGTGTACGGGATCGAGGCCTTGGGCTGAAGGTTTACTTGGAGGGTCGGGGGACTTAGTAACTGGCTAGTTTAGGGACTTATAAGTACCATAACCCCAATTAGGGTCCCTTTTAGGGTACTTATAAATCTACTTACTGATTACTACCTACTTACTAAGTCCCCCGACCCTCCAAGAAGGGTTTAGGTTAGAAGCGGCCCTCCCACCCTGTAATAGTGACTATAAGGATTCTATTAGGGCCCTATTATATTCCTATAATACCACTATTACAGGCTACAGGGTGGGGGGGGGCCCTTCTAGGGTTTAGGGCTTTTAAGAGAGTGAAGGGTGTTTAGGGCTGTAGTAGGCCCTGAAGATCGCTCGTGCCGACGATTCTGAATCGGATCGTTTAGCTTGGAATTCGACACTACAAGCTTGCCGTAACCCCACGTAACCTACCTTTTTAAGGACTTATATAAAGAAATCAGATTAGGGAACCCTAAAAAGGTAGGTTCCTTAAGGTCCAGGTGAAATATGCAGCAGCCGTTTTTTCCTGCAGGATTGGGTCCTGGGTCAGGGCTGGGTTAAATCGAAGAGTTTGACACTCTTTGTCCACAGCTTAGGTACGGCCCCCATACAGTAAGAGTCTAGAATAGGGCTATTATTAAGGTCCTACTATATCTATATTATGAATATTATTCAACTATCACTGAGTGGGGGCCGTACCCAATCCGCAGCCAACTGAAGTCTCAAAACGGCGAGGCCCTAAACCCGAGACTGAGACACCCAAACCTTGAACGTGAGGCTTAGACCGCGAATCCTAAACCCGAGACCATAGTATATAAGGCGTTTGGGCTATTTTGAGCCTTAGGGTTAGACTCACAAATTGCACCCCAGATCTCGACGCCTTCATCGCAGGACGTCTCGTGCCTGCCACCGGTTTGCCAGCCGCTCAGAGGGCGCTGCTTGCAGAATCGGCGCGCTCGTTTCCAGTCAACTATACGCCTGGAGTTTGTGGGGGGGTTTCGGGTCGACTCGGGCACAGAACTGGATCTCAATAGAAGGCAATAACGGTCGGGTCGCCTGATATTGGATCTTATGGAAATGCACGCGAATTCGGACCCTGCAAGGCAGCAGGCTTTTGCAGCTTTTGCAGCTTCCGGTAGGCATGTCTCGAACCCGAGTTTCCATGTCGTGCCAGTAGAACCCTTTTGGGATCGAGGGTTCAGGGCTTTTCGAAACGAAAATCTCAATGCTTATGTCTTTCGGCTCGCAGAGTTGGATTTTTCATTCAGGGTCGTGCAAGGTACACGTCCGAAGTGCTTCTTGGAGTAGGGAGGATTAATGTAGGAGTCGAAATATATATATATATATATATATATATATATATATTTATTTATTTATTTATTTATTTATTTATTTGTTTGTTTGTTTGTATTTATATAGTTATATGTATATAAGCAGTCCGAACTACTCTGCCGTGGTTACAGTAAGCCCTCAACTCAATATGGCCTTGTCTCGGTTGTAAGTCCCAAGTACTACAGTAAGCAGGGGTGCCGGGCCCCAAAAACCCTATTCTAGTCGTTAAGGCCCCTGATT